CAATCAAAATCATAAATACTACATTAAATATCATAATTAAAATACACTGATTATTAAATTTTACATATTCCAAACATGTATTATGCTTCATACATGTATATAGCATATATACAAATGCATATATGTGCTAGAATTTGTTTTTCCTTCTTTATACAATTATTTATTTGTTAATTATTTATGTAACATATACAAATATTGAGGGCTGACTGCTAAACCTTTTGTTACCTCTATGAGATAACAAAGGACTAAACAACAGTTTTGCAGTCAACCCTCAAATTATACATACAATTCTTGTAACTGAGATTCAGCTTGGATTAAATCTTTAAAAAATTATTGAAAACTTTTTCAAAAAGTATGACTATCAAATACAATAACAAAACAATTTACATTATAATATTGCCATGTATGGTTTTAAGGAAGCTCAAAATTCATTAACCCTTACCATGAGCAAGTCACAAAATCGGCATGTTTTATTTTAGATGTGAAAGATTTTAAAATGAACATGTTATAATGAACTCTTTGCTTGCCAGAGGCAAAGGTTTTACCCATGCAACAAAAGTAGGGCACAGCTATGCCATTTGATCTTGGTCTACACTGTTTGCTATTCGGTCAGTACATATTGTAAAAATTTTTCCCTCAAAATGATGAATGGTTTTGACAAGATTGAAAGATGGACAAGTCAATTTTAAAATATTCAGGGTGGTCAAGATTAATTAAGCAGCCGACAGTTGGTCATTGTCTTCACTAGTAATTGAATGGTGAAATTACATTGGGTAAATACATGTATAGAGATGCATGTTTTTATTTTCTTATACAGTCTATGATACAAATGAAACAATATTTACAAGAGTATCTTTCAAACCTTCTTACATTTTACAGCATACATACAAATTAACCCTTCCTGAAACAATAGCTAAATTATGCAGACAAATTCAGCACATCAGTACAGACTGACAAGACTCTATTACTGTTGGCTGATTTGTATGTATGTAGTTTATGCTAAATGAGGGTCCATCCGCCCGGTAAGGCACAACATGCAGCATTAGCTATCGAGTACGGACCCCGGACATGTCACCAGTAATGCCCTTAAAGAGTTTTTTTTTGAAATACAAAGTGGTGATAATTTACCTCCAGGCAATTTCCACAGAGTATAAGCAAATGATATGAGTTTTGAGTCAAAAGTAGGTCACTTATGGCGGTCAATGAGAGCCTAAATGTACAACAACAGTGTTGGCTGATTTATTCAGTACTATCATATATAAAACCCCTCTCATTAACAATGAACTTTTCCAAAGTCCAAGAAGGACAAGTCCATTAATCTCATTATATAATACTGCACATTTGTAACACTGCTTTTCATTGGATAATCATGGCAATTATAAGAAATATATACACATCTGTAATTGATTTTCAAGTAAATGTAAGATTTTCAATGGAAATGTTGTGGGTTTTTTATTATAAAACAATGCATTTTTAAATTTATACTCAAGTTGACTTCTATATTTACATATTTCAATTAATGAAGAAATACACTTTTAAAAAATAGATAACTAAAACTATCTTTCTAATACTACTGACTTGGTTCAAACATCTAAAAAATATCCTACATTGCACATAATACAATATTTTCACTTTATCATAATCTTATCTGACCATTTATTTAGCAACATGATGCTTGTATCGCATGAAAAAAAACATGATGCTTGTATTGCATGAACAAATAACATGATGGTTGTACTGCATGAACAAAAAACATGATGGTTGTATTGCATGAACAAAAACATGATGTTTGTATTGCATGAATAAAAACATGACACTTGTATTGCATAAACAAAAACCATGATGCTTGTATTGCATGAACAAAAACATGATGCTTGTATTGCATGAATAAAAACATGATGCTTGTATTGCATGAACAAAAACCATGATGCTTGTATTGCATGAACAAAAACATGATGCTTGTATTGCATGAACAAAAACATGATGCTTGTATTGCATGAACAAAAACATGACACTTGTATTGCATAAACAAAACATGATGCTTGTATTGCATGAACAAAACATTATGCCTGTATTGCATGATCAAAAAACATGATGCTTGTATTGCATGAACAAAAACATGATGTTTGTATTGCATAAACAAAACATGATGCTTGTATTGCATGAACAAAAACCATGATGCTTGTATTGCATGAACAAAAACATGATGCTTGTATTGCATAAACAAAACATGATGCTTGTATTGCATGAACAAAAACCATGATGCTTGTATTGCATGAACAAAAACATGATGCTTGTATTGCATGAACAAAAACATGATGCTTGCATTGCATGAACAAAAACATGATGCTTGTATTGCATGAACAAAAACATGATGCTTGTATTGCATGAACAAAAACATGACAGAAACAAAAAAAGTTGTTAATGCAGAGCATTAAAAATACAGTTCAATAATGAATACATGTATGTACCATGCTTTCAGTTTACAAGCACCTGCTACATTTATGTATTTCCAATCACTGTATCTTTATTGAAAGCCTATGATATACATGTATTTTTACGTGTACCTTTCTTGCGATAACACAGGACAGTAGACTCGTTTATCCCCATGTTTGTAAGAGAACCTTGATCTGGGTCTTATACTTTTGGTTCACACTTGGTGCTTTTGTGTCCCCATGTGACCCAATTTCCTATGCAGTGATCTCCCCTTATCAGTACAGAGATCTCAGCAACCTTAAACATATTTAACAATATTTTGATATTTTATATTTTTTAGCTTTTGAATTAATTTTCCATTATTGTGTATTCTTTTGATAATTTTTTGATAAACTATATTGAACGTAGGTAAATGACGTTAGATTTTCTATGTAATGGTTGATATTTACATTTGAATTTCGATGTTAAATCCCAAGGGAGGTTATCCCTTCGGGGGGGGGGGGTTTGCATATGACCTTGACCATGCAAATACCATAAGAAAAAGAATACCAATATCAGAATCTATTTTGTGTATTCTTTGTAACCATTACTACCATTATATACATTATTATGCAAGGCCTATAAGTAAACATGGGTTTATACAAAAATCTAAATACAAATCTTAGGTAACAACACTTTTTACAAGCCTCTCGTTTCAGTGTAAACAAGCAAATTCGTTGAATTTATATCCCCCGCCGAGTACTGGTTATTATTAACACAACAACTGAAGACATAAGGCTATGCAACAGACCAGAACCATTTGATCAACTTTGGCAGGGGACCACCCTAGGATCATTCCTGTAAAGTTTGGTTGCTGTGCAGTCATTTGTTTCTGAGGAGATGTTGTTTAAAGAAATTGCTGACGACGCATGACGACGGACGGTGGGGGATCACAATAGCTCACCTAGATGTAAAAACATCTTAATCTCCAGACTTCATTATTCGTAATTTAGTGATGTTGATCATTATTCCTGTAAAGTTGGTTGATTCTAACTCAAGCACTCAAGGATCAAATAACAACATAATGAAACAGTTTTTACTAAGTCAAGGGAAATAACTCTACAAATACTGGATAAATCCACAAGCGAAACCCCAGGAACAAACTAAATATGCTGAGCAACTTTCCAATAAGATTAAATGACTCTATGTCAAATCCTTTTTGAGTTACATGCGACACATGTTGAAAATTGCAAAAATTTTATAAGTCAAGGGCAATAACTCTAAAAATACTAAATAAATCCACATGAAAATACCGAAGTGCACAACTACACATGCTGATCAACATTCCTGTAAAGTTTCATTACTTTAGGTCAAATACTTTTTGAGTTACATGTGACACAAGTTGAAAATTGCAAAATTTTACTAAGTCAAGGGCAATAACTCTAAAAATAGTAAAAATATCCGGACGAAAATACCCAGGTGCACAACTACACATACTGATCAACATTCCTGTAAAGTTTCATGACTCTAGGTCAAACACTTTTTGAGTTACATGGGACACAAGTTGAAAATTACAAAATTTTACTAAGTCAAGGGCAATTACTCTAAAAATGCTAAAAATATCCAGATGAAAATACCCAGGTACACAACTACACATACTGATCAACATTCCTGTAAAGTTTCATGACTCTAGGTCAAATACTTTTTGAGTTACATGCGACACAAGTTGAAAATTACAAAATTTTACTAAGTCAAGGGCAATAACTCTAAAAATACTAAAAATATCCAGAAGAAAATACCCAGGTGCACAACTTCACATGCTGATGAACATTCCCATAAAGTTTCGTTGAATTCCAGCCATTAGTTGCAGAGAACTACTCCGGAAACGAAATTCGGACGTTTTACTAAGTCAAGGGCAATAACTCTAAAAATACTAAAAATATCCAGACGAAAATACCCAGGTGCACAACTTCACATGCTGATGAACATTCCCATAAAGTTTCGTTGAATTCCAGCCATTAGTTGCAGAGAACTACTCCGGAAACGAAATTCGGACGTTTTACTAAGTCAAGGGCAATAACTCTAAAAATAATAAAAATATCCAGACGAAAATACCCAGGTGCACAACTTCACATGCTGATCAACATTCCCATAAAGTTTCGTTGAATTCCAGCCATTAGTTGCAGAGAACTACACCGGAAACGAAATTCGGACGGACGGATGGACGGATGGACGGACGGAAGGACGGACGGACAACGCCAAAACTATATCCCCCTCCCGATTCCATCGGCGGGGGATAATAATTTTATCGGTGGCCGATATTAAAAAATTATCTTGAATGTGGTAATATATATATATAGATAAGATACACTTAACTCCAGTGAAAATAATGAAACAGAATAGCAAGACCATGTTCCACAGTAAACAGGTTATGAATAGAAAAATACAAAATTGAACATAAATGTTTCAATAAATCAATATTTTAACCTTACATTTAAAGGTTTTACAACAAAATAATGATTCTTGAAAAATGTAAATCTTGTTATGTAAATAACTAATATATAAATAACTAATACAAGTATATTTATATAAGAAAAAAATATGAAAATATAAGACTTTAAAAAATTATAAAAGTTAACAAATTTGTCTCCCTCTTCATGATATAGGTGAAATACAGTTTATACAGTCATTACAAAACTGTGTTTCTTTACAATGTATATTAACAATTATCTAGCATGTTTTCATATTCAACAAATGCAATTATTAGTGAACTTGGAAATCTTTCTAAACAAAGAACTATCTCACAATTAATTATTATCAATCCTGAAAATTAAGATAAGGGGTTTGGTCCCCAGAGATAAATGTGTGTGCCTTTGCCTTTGAATGTTCAACCCCTAATGGGGTCTCAACCATATACCCTCATATGATGTTAAAATCACGTAGTCCTCCGAAGAGTGGCAACAATCATGTGCAAGTTTTCTTCACAATCTAGCATAAATAAATAATATTTAAACCAAACCCTTCAGTTCGGTCACAACCAGTTCATAGTTACAAATCAAATATAAATTGGCCATATTTCATAACAGGAAAGAAATTCCTGGAATAAACAGAAAACTTTTGTAATTTATCAGCCATACAATTTTAGTATTACTTATAGTATGCCATTATAGCAACAGAACAGACAAGTTTGGTTATGTACATGTTTGTAACAAAACAATTACAAAGGTAAATACAAAATAAACAAGAATATTTAATTTTACTGATATTTTAGTGCTTGATTCGCTTCAAATTATGAGTTAGTGTCATTAAAATACGGAATGGTGTCCTGAGCTTTTGCTTACAAACTTTCAATATCCAGCTTTGGTATACATACATTTCATAAGCACCAATGAACTGTATTCGGAATCATATTTATAATGTGCCCAAGGTATATATTAAAGGGACTTCACTGAGGTTTTTTGAAATGACAGTATTAGAATTTTTTTCTAGATTAATAATTCATTACATGTAGGTCTAGACCAACAACTTGTGTGCACAATTTCAGATCGTTTGCCCACTCCATTTTCTCAGAATAATTATTCAAAAGTGAAAAATGACCCAAAATTTCAAATGGGGCTTAGAATACCATAAAAATATGATTTTCAATATATTTCTGAGTATATTCCTTAATCGTCCTTTGCATATCTTTCTGTTTAAAGTGCCCCAGCTGATCTATGTAATAAATACAGATTTTATGTTTTAAAGCATTTGGGCCACAGTGGAGTCCCTTTAACGAACATTATACAAAACATTAGGAATTCTTTATGATATACTCGTCTATCTGTTTAGTAAAGAGCTGAGGTATATTTCCACAGTTAGAAGTCTCTGCCTTCTTCAGGAGTTTATTAATGGAGATCAGGAGATCATATTTTATGCTGCCACCCAAATAGTGCTGAAAATACATAAAAGAAAAATATCTATGATAAAGTTGTTATATAAATTCAATACAACATCTTACCTACAATATTCCTCTCCTAATTTTATAGAATCAACATCAACATAACAATTTTACAGCTGTCAGACCATCATGTCATATAAAACCCTCATCTTGTAAAATCTCTTAAAGTAACATAATACTTATTTTGCCCATTATAATCATACTCTCAGAAAATGGATTTAACTCAATACAAGACTGGAGCAGTACCTCTAGACGCTTGCAGAAATCAAGATCAATTAATATGTATTAATCAGTATATACAGGAATACTTTATAATTATAGTTTGCTGCTCCAATCAATTTTTAGTCTCAATCTAAGAAAACCACTTACATCTTTAAAAGCACTGTACACTGCTTTAAATGCTGGTTGTTTATCGTTGAACCATACTCTACGACAACCGTGTAAGACAAATGCTCCGGTTTTCTCCGCTGGTTTACAAATACTCATATACATGCAATGATCAGGACGATAATTCATCTCACATGAAAATAAATACAGCTGATCTGAAATGCAAAAGAAAGCTGTGAGTGTTTTCTCTTCTTTTGGCTGTATCTTACAAGTCATTATTAATTAACTTTTCAATATTAAGCAGGTTTTCACTTCAAATGTAAGGCTAATATGAAGTTCAACAAGGCATTATGAACATAAAACAAGGCTATTATGCAATAAGTACGGCCTTTATGAGAAAACTCCGCTATTATGAGATTTCAGAATTGTAATTGGCTCCCCAGTTGGGCCATTATGAATCTGCCTTTTTTGTTTCATTGAAAAAAGACGCTATTTTGAATTGCTGCAAGGTAGGTTTCCGATATATTTTTAAAACATGAATCTCATTTGCAATACCTCACAACAACGGAATTTCACATTAGTTATTTTTTGTTAACTAAGTAATTAACTTTTTTTAGTTTATGTGTAGTTAGTTACTAAAATTGTCAATATTTAAGTGTTTTCATAATGGCCTTGTTATTGGGCTTTAGACTGTTATATTAGGCTTCGACCTTTGGCCTCAGGCTAAAATGACAGTATTCAGCCCAATAACAAGGCCATTATGAAAACACTTAATTATTAACATTATAGTAATATACATTAGTATAAACATTTTGAAAGGATTTACTCCCACAGCATCTCTATGCAATAAATCAGACAAATTATTCCTAAGAAATTTTGTCCTTACAAAAATCTAATTTAAACAGATTTCACTAAAGGTTACTTTCTAATGTTGCTCTAACATGGCTATATTATAAACCATGGCCTTACTTTGAGAAAAAAGTACTAAAATCTTAACCACTGTAACTGTGGCCTTGAACTAATCTTTATAAAACACCACCTATAACGAGAGGTGTATGAAGGGTTTGACACATTTCAATGACAGCAATAAATAAGGTGTTACAACAAAACTACTGGAAACTATCAGCTCCATCAAAACAATTTGTTGAACATGAAAAAGGTAAAATTTGCGCGATATAAAAGAACTAGAACAAGTGACTAATATGTCCAGCTCTTTTCTATACCAGTTTCCTGAATAGATTGAATCAATTGTAGCCTGTAGTTCCTGAGAAATAGTGCAGACAAAAAGCAAGACAAAACAGATGATATGGTGACTGAATAATGCGTCAATGAAAAGCTTAAAGAATACTGATGGAATGATATGATAGTAAACAATATATTCACTGATTTTACTGATGAACTCCCCCTCCCAAAATAAATTAAGATTAAACCAGTAAATCTTGCAGAAAAACTTTATTTTCAACATTTCAAACATGAGTGGCGGCGTAGCCAAGTGGTAAACGGGTTGGACTAGTTATCTAAGGATTGCTGACTGCCTGGGTTCAAACCCTGTCAGGGGCAAGCTGTTGTTTCCTTGAGCAAGAAATTTGACATTCATTTTTTAGTGGGTTGTTCCAGGAACATATTCAAGAGTGTTTCAATAAAGTTATAGCTTCCAATACAATTGAGATAAAATAAATTTGTATAAACTATCATTTCAAACTGAAAATATCTCTAAGTGTATAAGAAAAAACCCAGCATACCAGGATAATAATGGAAGTAAATATTTATGAGATCTTGATCTCCCCATGTAATCTTCAGTTTATATTCCTTGTAATAATTACTCATGGAATGTAACCATGACGATGCTCGAAGTCTCGTGAGATTCATCAACATTACTCCAGAGTTCACACCTGAAATATATAACAAAAAGTTCCATATAACGGAATTCTGCTTATTTGCTTCTTTATAAATTTTTTTATTTTTATCAAAAAGTTTGTTACAAAGTAACATGTGTAACAAAACAAAAGGTATTGAGATATTCTATTTCTGAAATCAACATTAAATACATGTACCACTATGCTGACAAATACACAAAATATTTACTGTTACACTATCATATCACACAAAACATAGAATACATAATTTATCTATTAAAGGAGATTTCAAACTTACAATACATCTAATAAATTTTTCACTTATTCACTCTTAAGACAAACAGGGGCTCAAAACTCATGATATTTCTATGTCTTATGATAGGTGTTTACCCTTTTCCATAAAAGGTGACTTTTGAGAGTCTTGTATCATAGTTTGGGGACCTTTCTGTTGAAAAAGTGTCGAGTTAAATCGTATACATATACATGCACAGTGCGGTAACTGGAGTGCGGGTATTAGTTACCCGCACTCCAGAGCATGCCCATTGATTGGCTCATTTTTGCTGGGGTTTACATATTGTGACGGCAGAGAAGGGAAAGCGACAGAAATGTCATATTCAGATGTTCGTTCATTGGTTCATTTTTGCCGGGGTTTCATATTGTGGAACAGGGAACGTGCTTTTATGTTTGACTATGATACAAAAGAGAAAGAACACCAAAACACTCGGCAATCTGATTTATACTCGGGGGCTACGCCCCCTCGTACAAATCAGATAGCCTCGTGTTTCGGTGCTCTTTCTATTACTTAAAATCCTGAATTCTGGAATAAATGTAATATTAAAAAAAACTTTCATCCATGTTAGTCCTCAGTTTTTTTTTACTAAAATTTTGAAAATCAACATTAGACAATTTCACATTTAAAGATGGAACAAAACCCCTCACAAAGTAAAGGTCAGTAAAGGTTTTACACATGAATTGTTGCTTTCATGAAACAAGAGGGCCATGATGGCCCTAGATCGCTCACCTGACTTATCAAACTCATCCAAACAATTACCTAGACAAGCATTCTGACCAAGTCTCATGACAGGTGAGTCAAAAATGTGACCACTACAGTGTTAACAAGGATTATCCATATTTGAGCAGTGCAACCTAGTTTTTTACCCAGGTGACACATATTCAAACTTGACCTAGAAATCATCAAAACAAACTTTCAGACCAATTTCCAGGATACTTGGATCAAAACAGTAGCAACTAGAGTGTTAACAAGATTTTTCTATTTTTAGCTCCGGTGACCTAGTTTCACATGCAATTTCGACCTCATCCAAGCAATTACCTAGACAAGCATCCTGACCAAGTTTGATGATAATTGAGTCGAAAATGTGACCACTAGAATGTTAACAAGGTTTTTCCATATTTGGGCGGTGTGACCTAGTTTTTCATCCAAGTTCGATCTTGACTTAGAAATCATCAAAACAAACTTTCAGACCAATTAACAGAATATTTGGATCACAACAGTAGCCACTAGAGTGTTACCAAGATTTTTCTATTTTTAGCTCCTGTGACCTAGTTTTTCATCTGAGATGTCCCATGTTCGATTTATTCCCAGCAATGACCTAGACAAGTTTCCTGACCAAGTTTGATGACAATTGAGTCAAAATTGTGACCACTTGAGTGTTAAAAAGGTTTTTCTATTTTTAGCTCTTATGACCTAGTTTTTCATCCGAGATGACCCATGTTCGAACTCATCCGAGCTATCACCTAGACAAGCATCTTGATCAAGTTTGATGATGATTGATGCAAAAATGTGACCGCTAGAGTGTTTTTAAGGTTTTTCTATTTTTAGCTCCGGTGACCTACTTTTTCATACGAGTTGACCCATGTTCAAACTCATCCGAGCTATCACCTAGACAAACATCCTGACCAAGTTTGATGATGATTGAGGCAAAATTGTGACCTCTAGAGTGTTAACATGGTTTTTCTATTTTTAGCTCCGGTGACCTAGTTTTTCATCCGAGATGACCCATGTTCGAACTCATCCGAGCTTTCACCTAAACAAGCATCTTGACCAAGTTTGATGATGACTGATGCAAAAATGTGACCGCTAGAGTGTTAACAAGGTTTTTCTATTTTTAGCTCTTATGACCTAGTTTTTCATCCGAGATGACCCATGTTCAAACTCATCCGAGCTATCACCTAGACAAGCATCTCGACCAAGTTTGATGATGATTGATGCAAAAATGTGACCGCTAGAGTGTTAACAAGGTTTTTCTATTTTTAGCTCTGGTGACCTACTTTTTCATACGAGATGACCCATGTTCGAACTCATCCAAGCTATCAACTAGATAAGCATCCTGACCAAGTTTGATGATGATTGATGCAAAAATGTGACCGCTAGAGTGTTAACAAGGTTTTTCTATTTTTAGCTCCGGTGACCTACTTTTTCATCAGAGATGACCCATGTTCGAAGTCATCCGAGCTATCAACTAGATAAGCATCCTGACCAATTTGATGATGACTGATGCAAAAATGTGACCGCTAGAGTGTTAACAAGGTTTTCTTTTTTTAGCTCCGGTGACCTACTTTTTCATCCAAGATGACCCATGTTCGAACTCATTCGAGCTATCACCTAGACAAGCATCTTGACCAAGTTTGATGATGATTGATGCAAAAATGCGACCGCTAGAGTGTTAACAAGATTTTTCTATTTTTAGCTCTGGTGACCTACTTTTTCATCTGAGATGACCCATGTTCGAACTCATCCGAGCTATCAACTAGATAAGCATCCTGACAAAGTTTGATGATGATTGATGCAAAAATGTGACTGCTAGAGTGTTAACAATGTTTTTCTATTGTTAGCTCCGGTGACCTACTTTTTCATCCGAGATGACCCATGTTCGGCCTCATCCGAGCTATCAACTAGATAAGCATCCTGACCAAGTTTGATGATGATTGATGCAAAAATGTGACTGTTAGAGTGTTAACAAGGTTTTTCTATTTTTAGCTCCGGTGACCTACTTTTTCATCCGAGATGACCCATGTTCGACCTCATCCGAGCTATCAACTAGATAAGCATCCTGACCAAGTTTGATGATGATTGATGCAAAAATGTGACTGTTAGAGCGTTAACAAGGTTTTTCTATTTTTAGCTCCGGTGACCTACTTTTTCATCCGAGATGACCCATGTTCAAACTCATCCGAGCTATCACCTAGACAAGCATCTTGACCAAGTTTGATGATGATTGATGCAAAAATGTGACCGCTAGAGTGTTAACAAGGTTTTTCTATTTTTAGCTCTGGTGACCTACTTTTTCATCTGAGATGACCCATGTTCGAACTCATTCAAGCTATCAACTAGATAAGCATCCTGACAAAGTTTGATGATGATTGATGCAAAAATGTGACAGCTAGAGTGTTAACAAGGTTTTTTCTATTTTTAGCTCTTGTGACCTAGTTTCTCATCCGAGATGACCCATGTTCGAACTCATCCAAGCTATCAACTAGATAAGCATCCTGACCAAGTTTGATGATGATTGAGGCAAAAATGCGACCGCTAGAGTGTTAACAACTAAATGTGAACGGACCAACGACGGACGGACGACGGACGATCATCGATCCTAAAAGCTCACCCTGAGCATGCTCAGGTGAGCTAAAAACACAAACATTTGTTTGAAAATGTATGACTAATAGTTAGAAGTTAATACAAGCCACTGTGACCCCTTTTGTTTTATTTTCAGTCTTTTACCTGTAACACCATAGTATGGATGCCTTGCAAATCTGTTGTACCAGCCTATAGCTTTATCTTCATGCTCATTGGCTAAAGCTGCCAGCTGGGTGGAGTTAAACTTGTGAAAATACGCCCAGATTTCATCAACAGGGGAGAGGAAAAGAACATCTGTATCCACATATATCAATGCATCCACATCCGTTAGTAACTCCTGAAAATTTAATTTAAGATTAGCAAAAAAACAAAACAAAGTACAGTAAGTCATATCTTAAACTGAGGAATGGAATACAAACCAGAAATATGCTTTATAGTTTCTTGCAATAAATACTTACAATGTAATGTTAATTGATCACATAATTTTATATGGCAGATAAAAATGACAGCCCACTATTCCAATGTAACTTTCCAGTGTTTACAGTTTTATGTAAATTGGCTAACATGTTATCCAGTTGCTATACTGAGATAATACATAGTCACTGGTTGACCTGGTTTGCACAAAAGAACACATGGTTATGTTTTTGATACTGTTTGTGAGCAGTTGACCTTGCAATGAATGGAAAAGGTTTGGCTAAATGTTTTGCTACAAAATTCCGGAAAGGCCCATATGCTCCCTTGTCCCTTTAACCGTTACTCCCTTGAATTTCAGCAATAGCCTTGTCTTGCTTTGAGTTTGGACCAGTCCATTGTAAGTGTGGGTATACATGCATTGTTTGAACTTTCTAGGTCAATGCTATCAGACTTAATGGCTAGTTTTATATTTTCTTACTGATCTTGACCTTAATTCGACCTGAAAATGGGTGTGGCATGTATAACTCATTAAGACGGACCAATATATTTGGGTTTAATCCAATAGCTTTGTTTGCATGGAAGTTAAAGATGTAATCAAAAAGGGTTACCAAAACCAAAGAGTGGGTCATGAAAATAGTTTTACTTTTTCTACGTAAAACACATGGTTATGATTAGGAATAACACTAATGTTATCACCCCTTGCGGCTTTTAATAAAGCGAAGTTCTTATTCTTGATGACCTTGCTAATACATATCCATCTTAGAACAAGAGGGCCATGATGGCCCTGAGGTCGCTCACCTGTATATAGGCCCCCCAACACCCCCCCCCCCCCCCAACGTTGCAGGGCCAATTTAACCCAAGGGCTTTTATTTGCACAATCTTGGTAGACACCCATAAGAAGATGTTTCATGCTAAACATCTAAGCTCTAGCTCATTGGGCTTTTTAAAAGAAGATTTTTTTTAAGTTTTTACTATACACATATACAATGTACATGTAGTTAAAAACAATGACACCCCTGGGGCCGGGCCAGTTTTGACCCCAGGGCTTTTATTTGAACAAACTTTGTAGACACTTACTAGAAGATGTTTCATGCTTAATATCTAAACTCTAGCTATTTGGGTTTTTTCAAAGAAGATTTTAAGTTTTTGCTATACACATATAAAGAAAATCAATGACCCCCGGGGCGGGGCCAATTATGACCCCAGGTCTTTTATTTGAACAAACTTTGTAGACACTCACTAAAAGATGTTTCATGCTTAATATCTTAACTCTAGCTATTTGGGTTTTTTCAAAGAAGATTTTTTAAGTTTTTGCTATACACATATAAGGAAAATCAATGACCCCCGGGGCGGTGCCAATTTTGACACCAGGGCTTTTATTTGAACAAACTTGGTAGACACCTATTAGAACATGTTTGATGCTAAATATCATAGCCATAGCTCTTTGAGTTCTTTAAAAGAAGATTTTTTAAGTTTTTACTATAGGCATATAGGGAAAATCAATGACCCCCCGGGGCGGGGCCAATTTTGACCCCAGGGCTTTTATTTGAACAAACTTGGTAGACACCCATTAGAACATGTTTCATGCTAAATATCTTAGCTCTTACTCTTTTGGTTCTTTAAAAAAGATTTTTTAAGTTTTTACTATATGCATATAGGGAAAATCAATGACCCCCCGGGGCGGGGCCAATTTTGACCCCAGGGCTTTTATTTGAACAACTTGGTAGACACCCATTAGAACATGTTTGATGCTCAATATCTTAGCCATAGCTCTTTAAAAGAAGATTTTTTAAGTTTTTACTATATGCATATAGGGAAAATCAATGACCCCCGGGGCGGGACCAATTTTAACCCCAGGGCTTTTATTTGAACAAACTTGGTAGACACCCATTAGAACATGTTTCATGCTAAATATCTTAGCTCTAGCTCTTTGGGTTCTTTAAAAGAAGATTTTTTAAGTTTTTACTATATGCATATAGGGAAAATCAATGACCCCCCGGGGCGGGGCCAATTTTGACCCCAGGGCTTTTATTTGAACAAACTTGGTAGACACTTATTAGAACATGTTTCATGCTAAATATCTTAGCTCTAACTCTTTGGGTTCTTTAAAAGAAGATTTTTTAAGTTTTAACTAAATGCATATAGGGAAAATCAATGACCCCCCCGGGGCGGTGCCAATTTTGACCCCAGGGCTTTTATTTGAAAAAACTTGGTAGGCACCTATTAGAACATGTTTGATGCTCAATATCTTAGCCATAGCTCTTTGAGTTCTTTAAAAGAAGATTTTTTAAGTTTTTGCTATACACATATAAGGAAAATCAATGACCCCCGGGGCGGTGCCAATTTTGACACCAGGGCTTTTATTTGAACAAACTTGGTAGACACCTATAAGAACATGTTTGATGCTAAATATCATAGCCATAGCTCTTTGAGTTCTTTAAAAGAAGATTTTTTAAGTTTTTACTATATGCATATAGGGAAAATCAATGACCCCCCGGGGCGGGGCCAATTTTGACCCCAGGGCTTTTATTTGAACAAACTTGGTAGACACCCATTAGAACATGTTTGATGCTAAATATCTTAGCCATAGCTCTTTAAAAGAAGATTTTTTAAGTTTTTACTATATGCATATAGGGAAAATCAATGACCCCCCCCGGGGCGGGACCAATTTTAACCCCAGGGCTTTTATTTGAACAAACTTGGTAGACACCCATTAGAACATGTTTCATGCTAAATATCTTAGCTCTAGCTCTTTGGGTTCTTTAAAAGAAGATTTTTTAAGTTTTTACTATATGCATATAGGGAAAATCAATGACCCCCCGGGGCGGGGCCAATTTTGACCCCAGGGCTTTTATTTGAACAAACTTGGTAGACACTTATTAGAACATGTTTGATGCTAAATATCTTAGCTCTAACTCTTTGGGTTCTTTAAAAGAAGATTTTTTAAGTTTTAACTAAATGCATATAGGGAAAATCAATGACCCCCCGGGGCAGTGCCAATTTTGACCCCAGGGCTTTTATTTGAAAAAACTTGGTAGACACCTATTAGAACATGTTTGATGCTCAATATCTTAGCCATAGCTCTTTGAGTTCTTTAAAAGAAGATTTTTTAAGTTTTTACTATATGGATATAGGGAAAATCAATGACCCCCGGGGCGGGGCCAATTTTGACCCCAGGGCTTTTATTTGAACAAACTTGGTAGACACCCATTAGAACATGTTTCATGCTAAATATCTTAGCTCTAACTCTTTGGGTTCTTTAAAAGAAGATTTTTTAAGTTTTAACTAAATGCATATAGGGAAAATCAATGACCCCCAAGGGCGGTGCCAATTTTGACCCCAGGGCTTTTATTTGAAAAAACTTGGTAGACACCTATAAGAACATGTTTGATGCTCAATATCTTAGCCATAGCTCTTTGAGTTCTTTAAAAGAAGATTTTTTAAGTTTTTACTATATGCATATAGGGAAAATCAATGACCCCCCGGGGCGGGGCCAATTTTGACCCCAGGACTTTTATTTGAACAAACTTGGTAGACACCCATTAGAACATGTTTCATGCTAAATATCTTAGCTCTAGCTCTTTGGGTTCTTTAAAAGAAGATTTTTTAAGTTTTTACTATATGCATATAGGGAAAATCAATGACCCCCCCCCCCCCCGGGGCAGGGCCAATTTTGACCCCAGGGCTTTTTTTTGAACAAACTTGGTAGACACTCACTAGAAGATGTTTCATGCCAAATATCTAAGCTCTAGCTCTTATGGTTTTTTAAAAGAAGATATTTAAAGTTTTTTCTTTCGGTTGCCATGGCAACCAGAGTTCTGCATGGAATTAAATTCTTTGAACAATTTTTAAAGGTGACCACCAAAGGAACATTCCTGTGAAGTTTGGATGAAATTGGCTTAGTGGTTTATGAGGAGATGTCATTTAAAGTAAAAGTTTACGGACGGACGACGGCTGGACACCGGACGAAAAGCGATCACAAAAGCTCAGCCTGTCACTTTGTGACAGGTGAGCTAAAAATAAATACAACATCATTCTTTGACCATGCTTGTTAACAAAAATGTATAAAGATAAAAATAAAGAACATACTGGAATGAACAGTCTTTGGCAAGCACATGGCTTAAACAATTTCCTCCAATCATCAGCTTTAATCTCATCTGTAGATGGGAATGTAATGTTATAAATACGATAATCTATCTTCTCTCTATACTTTGTTGGCCAGAAGTCAAGCTGGAAAAATAAAATGTTAAGTTTTATTGTGTCAATTTTTCTCTACAAAATTTCACCATTTACTTGTTGCAAATTTAAGAATTGTTATAAACACTAGTAAAATATTGGTTGACTGATTTCTTTAATATATCCAAAAGCTGCATAAGAAAGCATTTATTTTGTGCAGACAGGAGTAGGCAACAGCATCCAAATGAACATAAAATTAATCTTTTTTAATTAATTATCTGTTAAAATAACTCATGAGCCAATATGTATTTTGATAATGCTGTAACTTGAATTATCATTTGAATTTTCATAATATAAGGCTTCATGTGTATTTATTATTATTAATATTGTTGTAAACAGTTAATTATGTTAGTTTGCCTACCTGTATTGCACTTTTTCTCTGTTGTTGTTATTGTTATACAATCATATCATTTCTTGCTTGATTATTCATTATTTCAATTTAAATGATGTATTTCATTATGACATCAGCTGAGGTTGACATTGAATATTGGGACACTAAATGCGTAAGCCTTATCATATTAAGGTGTTACTTATATATACCTATATTTTACATTTTTGAAAAAACTAACATAAGTACCATGGTCTTTCTACAGCATTTTATCCAGTGTGTGGTATAGGTTACAAAAAATCAAGTACTCTGGTTTCAAATACATTTATGCAAACCAATTCAATTAATGTAAACACTGTCAACAGTAACTTTCATTCTGACAAGAGTTATAGGCAAAGCTCTTACAACTACTTACTTTTGTCTATTATAGGTCTATTTATTATCTAGCAAGTTGCTTTGTTCATTTACCTGATCTTCAAATGCTTTTCTCTGTTCCGGTTCAGTGAATATATGAAAAACAAGATGTGATGTGGAAAACAGTACAGCCGACTTAAACATGATCAAACTTTCCTCCATTCTGTCACCACATGACACCACTGCTATATGGATACTCTGTTTCCATAGCAACGCTCTGAAATGTAAAGTTTGTATCAATAATGATTTTTAAGTATTAATAAATTTCAAATTTTTTAGCATCAAATTTATATTCATGTATAAATTTCAATTTTCTGTCTATTGAACCAGAATCCTACTGGCAGAAGCTACTTTTACCCATACCACAGCCATGCCATCTGACCATGTTCTGCACTGTTCACTATTCAGTCAGAACATCTGATCATGGTCTGCACTGTTCACTACTGTATAAGTACTTATTTTGGCGGGGGTTTATATTTGGCTATATTGGCGGTCAGGGTCAAACGCCAATTCAAAACACCGCCAATTTAAAGCACCGCCATTTTAGATCATCGCCATTATTCTTTGAAAGGTAGACAACTCATGGTAAAATAGCTTTGGTTTGTCCGAGTAATCTCCCTTGATTATTTGTAATAAAGATAAACATTACAAGTAAGCTGAAAAGAATTTGTTTATTTTTAAGTCTTGGTACGAAACTCATTTAATTATATATCTATATACTGTATTTATTACGAAGATGATCACACGACGAGAAACAAATCTAAATGTCATTTATTATCGAATTTAAGTAAACTAGTATTTGTTTTGTTTTCACTGTTATGTTTCATAATTTGAAATAAAACTAATGATAACTGTAATTATATAGCAATCAGTTGTGGTGACCGTGAACAATTTTTCACGCTTTAAAGACTGCAGGATAATAGGGCATACCTTTCTCTTCCATGGTCCAGTTACCACACGGTACCATATTTACACCTGTCTGATCCCAGTTAATTATAAGAATTAGCACGATGTAAAGATAAAGGTGACCAAGCATAGGTATACCGTATGCCGTAAAATAAACGAGGACAGTTAACTACTGCGTGACCAGTGTTATTTCTATTTATTTTTTTTATTCTTTATTTGTAATCGCCAATTCATGACCCCATATTTATGCCAACAAGTGTTTTAATTTGGCGGTCTAAAAGCGTTTGCGCCAATTTATGACCCCACCAATTCAAAACACTTTAAAAACGCCAACATTTGACACCGCAGATATAATGCGCTATACAGTATTCAGTCAGTACATATGATCATGGTCTGCACTGTTCACTATTCAGACAGTAAATCTGATCATGATCTGCACTATTCACTATTCAGACAGTAAATCTGATCATGATCTGCACTGTTCACTATTCAGTCAGTACATCTGATCACAGTCTGCACTGTTCACTATTCAGAGAGTATATCTGATCACAGTCTGCACTGTTCACTATTCAGACAGTACAAGTACATCTGATCACGGTCTGCACTGTTCACTATTCAGACAGTACATGTACATCTGATCACGGTCTGCACTGTTCACTATTCAGACAGTACATGTACATCTGATCACAGTCTGCACTGTTCACTATTCAGTCAGTACATGCTGTTCACAGTCTGCACTGTTCATGTACATCTGATCACAGTCTGCACTGTTCACTATTCAGTCAGTACATCTGATCACAGTCTGCACTGTTCACTATTTAGACAGTACATCTGATCACAGTCTGCACTGTTCACTATTCAGACAGAACATCTGATCACAGTCTGCACTGTACACTATTTAGACAGTATATCTGATCACAGTCTGCACTGTATACTATTCTGACAGTACATCTGATCACAGTCTGCACTGTACACTATTTAGACAGTACATCTGATCACAGTCTGCCCTGTTCACTATTCAGACAGTACATCTGATCACAGTCTGCACTGTTCAGTATTGTTTTAATTGTGCACCTTGTTTTTTATTCAAATTTTGAAAATGTTTCCTTGTGGAAAATTAAAGCATGCAAAGACAATACAAACAGTTTGGTTAATTGCTTCCTTTGTACTCCGTCAAAGAATTTCATAGCAAAAAGAATGCAATCACACTGACTTAGAGTTACCATTTATTTCTTTAAAATATTGCTTTGAAACAATATTTGTTGCACTGCTATTCGAAATTTCAATCAATATGAAATCAACCATTAAGAAATTTGACGATACATAATGTCATGATATAATAATTTTGTGATGATCGCCCTATAAACATAACATATTCAAGCATGTAAGTTACCGTTTGTCATTTTCTTTTCCTTCATCAGGTTTAACATCATCAACTTTGACTGTGTCATCAGCAGTGTGCTCATTCTTTGATATCTCCAGATCATTGTCTTCTACCAAGTCTTTTGTTCCCTCAAATGTGTCCTTGATGCTCTCAAGGTTAATGGCATAGTACATGTAAACTGCTACAAGAATGATAACTGTAAGACCGATCTTGAACAACATTTTGGCCCTTGCTGTTATCTGAATTCTCATGGATATTCTGTCCTTGACCTTCACAAAAGGTCAATTAAATAAGAGTTTGCATCTTGACCAATGATGTTTAATTTCAACCTATATTTAATCTTTCATTGAAATATTAGCATTGCAACCTCCATTGCATTATAAAGAAATTATCAATCTCGATGTATTTGCTCATCTATTCCATTGTTTTATTTATGGCACTTTGTTATAATGGACTGATCTTTTTTGCAGGTAAAAATCCATACGATATAATTCCCTGGAAAATAAAATTTGTGAAATGATATACATGTATATATACTGCATGTTATGATTAATTACATTGTAATGATAAGGCACTATGTATGTATATATACACTGTATGTATGATATACTTGGTCAAATACTGAAAAAATTCTAATTGTTGAGCTGATGCATATAATTATCATCCTGAACAATATTGCTGTACATCTTGCTCTTAACAATGCTCGACTATAATGACATTTTGCAGCAAACTAATATATTTGTCACACATCAAGCACATGACATGGAATAAAACATTAGTTTTCAAGGTAGCCAGCAGGCTTACCTAGGCTTATTTTGAGTATATGCCGATTTTAGGTCTTTGGCTGAAGGGTCGCCAGAAACTTATATCAAATATAGCTCTGTGCCATAACCAGGGATTTGGGGGATATCTAAGTGATGAAATGTCATTTAATCATATTACTATTGTCTTCATCTATATATGAAAAAAACATCAAGTACTTGTATTGAATGTAAGAGAAATTGCATGAAGTCTAACATGTACACTGTTTTAAACAGTTAAAAGTTATTTACTATTAGAAAAAAAAACAACATAGCCAGGTGACTCTGTTGTAATCAAGATGAAATTCATTTCCTTTTTTCTTTTTACAAGTTTTTTTTATTTTTCTTTGTTATTTTTCTTTTGCTTCATCATTACTTAACATGAGATATAATCAAGGAAAATATGTTTTAAAATAATTATCTGTATGATGATAGTTCAAACACAACAGCTTAAATGTTTTAGTGTAACAATAAGTTATTGTATTTACAGCTAAAATGTAGTATCGGGTGATCATTCTAAATGCGTATTATGTCAATGTTAAAGAAAATAATTATTGTCTTGAACACTTGAACACTTATTTCCTCATCGCTACTGTTTCAATTTTCATTTGAAACATTTAAGTTATTTCAATAAGCTGTTTAAATACTTAATTCACATAAAAGCATCTTGGTTTAAAAAGACTTGCCAACTGGTTGTTTAAAGTCAGTAAAAATAAGAAAATTTGGACAAAACTTGTCTTTTATGGCTATTGTTCTCATTGTATATTATCTATATTTCATATGTATAGATGAGATGTGTAATTAAGTATACATATGATTGTTTGCAGAAGTATGCAATTTATTTCTAAACTCAACAAAATAAGACAGCAGAAACAACTTTCTATAGTGATATACATGTATTTTGTAAACATACTTCACTAAGATCACTTCACATTTTAGATACACTACTGGTGTAATTGTAGTCATTGTATACATATCTGGCAGCTGACCTTTAAACTTGTTTTATTTTGTAAACCAGATTTTTTTGCCAAGGATGCCAAACCGTGGAACTGTATTCTAACTGGGGCCTTACATAAGTTTTGTAGGCAGTTTCTTTAACCTTTTTGTTGGAAGTTCTGACATTTCTTTTTATAAATCTGAGTGGATTATTTGCTTTGCTGTTATATGTTATTTATATGATTGGTCCAAGATAGATCTTTACTAATTGTTTAATAATATTTTGCAGCCTCAGTGGATTTTAGTTGCTGACCATGTAAATTATAAGGGAATGTTATTGGATGTCTCTTGCAGCTGATACTAAAGACTTCACATTATTCTGGATTAAATTCCATGGACCAATCAGATTCAGAATCAGTTTTTAAAACTGTCGAGATCTTTTTGGAGGGTTTGTGCATCTTGGGTTGATTTGTTAGATACAGTCTGTACATGTATAATATTGTATCGTCTGCAAATAGTCTAACCTTGTCATTAACAATATCAGGGAGATCATTTATGTAAAATAAGAAAAGGCACAGTCCCAGGACCAAGCCTTGGGGGACACCAGAGAGAACAGGTAGGTTGTCAAAATTTAAATTGACCATCAACAACGACCTGTTGGGTGCGACCATATAAAAATGACCTTGTCCATGTGATGACCTCTGAGCTAACACCTAGTCACTGTCTGTGTAGTTTAAGAAGTTTGTGAATGTCAACTTTACCAATTGCTTTGCTGAAGTCCATGACAATGACACCGGTCTGTTGGCCTTGCTCTAAATTGTCATGAACTTCCTGGATGGCCGTTTCACACTCACAGCTATGTTTTGACCTGAAACCATGTTGGAAATTGCTGAAAATATCATGCTTATTGTAGAAAGACATGATATTTGAGACTAATATATGCTCCATAAGCTGACAGGCAATGCAGGTTAATGATATAGATCTGTACATGTAGTTACATTTTGGGCCTATATATGGCAACACATTTGAATGTCTAAAAATTGTAAATAATTAGTGACAGTAGTCTGTAGAGCAATGGATGCCCTTAATCTGATATAGTTAAAAAGAAATAAGATTTAAGATCAATAAACATAGACAAAAGTCACATGAAAGGTTTAGCACTGTTTAGTTTGGGCATATCAAAGTTTTAGAGTATCGCGGAAACACGTGACTTTAAAAAATTCCAAAAGTGCTACGTTGAAGTAGCAAAATATACCTTTCTTACAGTATATTTTTGAATACCTTTTATTTAAAACTGACTAAATTGAAGAAAAAGTAATTTCTAAGATCTAAATGAAATTCAAAGTGAATTAATTGCTTTTTGTTTACCGTCTCCTTGCTGAAAACCTAAACCGTCACGTGATAAGGAACCATCGTCACGTGATGTTGAGCATGTGACATTTTAGTTTCAGTTGACGCGACAGATTTCATCATTTGATTCAAAACCAACAATGGAAGCGTTATTCGGGTAATTTAAATCTGATTTTTCAGCTAAGTATCGTTGTTTGAACTTCTTTATTACATTTAGTTAAACTTTAGTTTATTTCAAATAAAACTTTATTATTTTACATGACGAAAACTGAACTTTGGACTTTATTTAATTTTTAAAAGTGAAAGTAGCTCGAGCCAAAAGAAGAAAGTTGCATATATTTAATTATTTATTCTTTCTCTATTTCTGTAGGCACATTGATAAGAACGCAGATAAATATATCAAGCGTTTGTCTGACGTGGTTGCAATAAAGAGTGTGTCAGCATGGCCAGAGACAAGGCCAGAGATCAGAAAGATGGTCGAGTGGACAAAAGGGGTGTGTATGTTATGAATTATCAGATTATATGTATATAGAATACAGTACAACCTCAGCAGATCAACGCATTTTAGGAGACAACAAGAGACAAAGGTTTTGATTGTTGCTGAAAGGTGTTGCCAAAAAAAGGTTGAACTGTAATTGTAATATTTAAGAAAAGTCCAGGTTTGGGCAATTGAAAACTGTTGTTTTAAATTCAATGCATCTGTGCAAGCTAGGGCAGCTCTGTGGTGATTCTGGAGTTCTATAATTTCATTATGACCTTATTAAATTGTATCCGCAGTGATAGTTCATTTTGCAAGATAAATGACCTGTATACAGGTATATATGTTATCTGGCTGAGTCTTTAATCTGAATCATATGACAAGGAAGGATATTTTAAGGTGTTATGCACACTGTCACTATGTCCTTTGGTAAGATTACTGAAGTTTATGTAGGTGTGATTGATGTAAACATTTAACAGATTATTTTCTCACTGTCAAACCATTAGGAAGACAAGACAAGTCATACACTTTCTAGATAAGTTGGTAATCTAACAAAAATGAGAACTGATCAGAATTTATAGTCCATTCTTAGTATCAATGTATATATATTCTGATTGTTGCCATGTTACACTAATTTCATCATTAAGATAGGAGCTTTATTTTTTTTATTAAAACAGGAGCTTGAGAAACTTGGTACAACATGTGAACTTGAAGAACTCGGAGATCAGATATTGCCAGATGGACAAAAACTTCCACTGCCACCAATACTACTTGGAACACTAGGAAATGATCCTAAAAAGAAGACTCTTCTTGTATATGGGCATCTTGATGTTCAGCCCGCAGAAGTGGTAAGGGTTAAAACTTAAATAGAAATAACAAGAAAAATATTTCAAAGCTGATAAGCTACATGTATGTAGGTCTCAAGATTGAATTGATAATGATTACTTCATTTCAAAATCAATTCTCATGATCCTGAAACTACCATTATTGGCTCATTCAGGCCATGTGAGCCTTTGGGCATTGCAATTACAAATGAACTGTATACTTACCGTAAAATTCCTAATAAATACCCCTCCCCTGATAAAGGCCCCCCACCCCACTCCAGGCTATTTGATATGAAAAAAATCGATACATCAGTGCTGAACTCATGAGTAAATCTATAATCTTATTCAATCAGAATCAGAATCCATTTCATTTTATAGTAAACACAAAAATGTATCATATGAATGAACTTTAAAAACTAACCACTTTAAAATGTGTTTATAAAAAGGAAAAAATGTGCTGTAATAACCCCCCCCCCCTTGGAAAATGTTTAGCCCTGGGGGCATTTAATAGGAATTCTTATGGTAAATATTTATATGGTACATTATATAGCCATTGACAATAATATAAGAACATGAAAAGATTAGTAAATTCTTTTTCATAATTATGAATTCATACAAGTCAATATATTTTCATGATTATCTATAAAGGCTATATGGACATGGGATATAGGTCGTGTTTATGTAATTCATTTTACAGTACATTGTATATAATTTTGTACATATATATATGTTTATTCATTGTCACTGCTATGTACACATTTTAGGCATAAGTTCAAAATGTACATTCAATGTACATACAATGTAGCATTCCAGAAGTCTCAGCTTTAACATCCATTTGTAAAAAAAATTATAAAGCTCTTACTACAAAGAGCAATGTGTAAAGTATCATACTATTAGTATCTATATCAGTATTTGTAACATAAGAGTCACTGGTAATCTTTGTACTTTAGACATTATGTACTATGTGTCAAAATGAATCTTGATCATAAGTGATATACCGTATAGGAATAATGATAAATAGACACAATTGAGATATTGATTGTAAATACACATACACATTTTTATCATGAAAAGTAAGAAAAAAAAGTTGGTAGTTCATCACAAATGATTATGTTACAGGAAGTTTATTATAATAACACAAAGTTTACAACAAAAACAAAGCATAAAGTGTATCTAATCTGTTTAACTTGGAGAAGTATGAACCATGTAACTATGTTAACAAAAAGCATGTATAGAGAAGTGTGCAAAGTTCCAAGGCTTATTTCCTTGGACATATACTTACTAGAACATACAATACAATCTACAATGGTAGGTCAAATGTATGTTGATAGTATTTATATTAAACATGACAACAGAAAAACAAAAATATATACATGTATTATAAATTGATGTTGTTGGCAAGATACATGGGACGGTATTAAATAAATTTATATAGCAGATAATAAAGTGTTCTAGAACAAAATATTATTTTTTCAGATATACATTTGCAAATGTTCACATTAAATCACTTAGAGCTTTTTTTTCGAACAGTTTTATATGATAATATCCAAATGATCCGTTTTTATTGTTACAATATTTGAAATGCTGATAGAAAATGTGTCTATTTTAGACCAATGCACTTTAAACTAAATAAATACTATGAAAACCATAATGTACATTTTAGAAAATTAGTAAAGTATATGAACTAAATAAAAATAATGGGTATTTATACTATATGTATTAATTTTCTATTTTTTTTGTAATGAGTTAAAAAAACAACACACACATAAAAAGATTTACTCATAAAGATTTATATCTTATTATAAATTAACATTGATATGAATTATAAAGTTAACAAATGATATCTTTGGTTGTTATTTTACAGAGTGATGGATGGGACACTGAACCTTTTGTTCTGACTGAGAAAGATGGTAAATTATACGGCCGGGGGGCAACAGATGATAAAGGGCCTGTCCTGGGCTGGATTAACGCTCTGGAAGCAATGAAGGAGCAAGGAATGGAAGTTCCCATAAACCTTAAAGTGAGAAATCTTTGCAAATTACTTTCTATCAGAAAATCAATGAAGTCTTTTTTTAAACATACTCTGTATAGAGAAGTTTTGAGTAAAGGGTAGAATTGAAATTGTAATAGGATCTTGCATGAGTCATAATTTTATATAAATTATTTGTATTGAATAAAACCATAGAAAGTGTAAAAAACAAGCCTATGGCAAGTTGTATAATATTTTTCCAATATGTTGAATGTAAGATATTAAAATTAACAAAGAACAGTGAGCAGTTAGTGCCAATCCTTCACAAAAATGCAGCATTGTGAAAGTTCACGCTTACAAAAATGGTGACTTATTTAACTAAATTTATTCTGTTTCAGTTCATTTTTGAAGGCATGGAAGAATCTGGATCTGAGGGGCTGGATGAGTTAGTCTTCTCTAAATCAGATACTTTCTTAAAGGTATAAACAAGGGGTTCTATACTTTTGGCTACATAATCATTGAAACTTTTAAAGGGTGCAAAGCTGGTTCTGGTGAAATAAACATGTATAAATATTTGGCACTCTAAGTCACAGATTTTTTATACCCGTATGGTCATATCTAACAAGTTACAAAATTAAAATGTTGAATAAAAGTTTTTTTTAAAATCTTTGTAAACTAGGGCTTCTTCACTGTTATAGTGCTTAAATGTTTGAAGATGCCATCCTAGACAGTGATTGTTTGCATTCATTTAATCATTGCAAAATTTCAGTCATACGTTATTTTCCCAATTTTTAACAAATTATTGCTTAAATTCACAGTTCCATGTGTAGTCATGTTCCCAAATACTGGAAAAAAATCTTGTGTGTACATTTCAAAGAGGCAAAATATTGCTTTATACCTTATATAAATTTATGATATTGTTTCTCCTTTTGTTTTTTAAATAAAGGAGAAGGAAATATGGAGGTGGCTTTAAAAACTGGCAGTGTAATTAGTTTTACCCTAAACATTAAAACTTTACTTCAACCCCTGCCTTTATCTTTTTAATGCATGTAAAAATGAGTCAATCATGATTTATTTAGCCTCACAAACAGTACTGGTCAACTCTTTAGTGGTTGTAAAACAGACTTTAGATTCACATTATCACTTTTACATTAATAGCCAAGCTTTGCTATAAATAGAAGTGGGAGGAGCAAATTTTGCTGATTTTTGCAATATTTCTGTAAGAGATCAGTTTATTCAAATTAACTCATATAGCAAAAAAAGTTTAAATTTGAAGTCACCTCTGGCTAGTTATACAACAGTTCCCTGTAAGCTCTGATGTTATAATTTTTACAAGGCGGTGAATACTTGTATTCTGCTAGCTGTTAAGCCCTATTTAAAATATGTGTGTAGGTCCCAAACTGGGCAAAGGCAAGGGTTTATTTTAACCATGTTGATATGATTTTGTTTTTTATGACAGGATGTAGACTTTGTGTGTATATCTGACAACTATTGGCTTGGCAAGAAGAAACCCTGTATCACATACGGTCTCAGGTAGGAGTCTTTACTAATGAATAACGTGTTTAAAATGGTAATACATTTCGGCTAGTACTGATAGAAACTGTAACACTGTGAAGTGAATTTTGAGGGAAAATATTTTTAGGACTTACAATGAAAACTGATTTGTGGGTTGTTGGTCTGGACGTAATGGGTTTTTACACTGAAAAGATGAAAGCAAAAATAGAATATTTACTGTAAGTTAAAGAAATAATGAACTTTTTACTGATATTTTATTAGCTTCGATTCAATAATTATCAGTGCAGGTTATAAAAGATCTAAGTAATTTATTACTTAAGGCAAATTTATTTTTCACTTATTGAGTATGAAGAGAATTGGATAGCAACCACTTTAGTTGTTGATTTAATGAATTAGAATTGATAATGTTTTTCATTTTCAGGGGAATTTGTTACTTCTTCCTAGAGGTAGAGTGTGCATCAAAAGATTTGCACAGTGGTTTATTTGGAGGAACAGTGTAAGTGAGTTTTGTAGATTTATAACATTTGAAGGTCTGTATATGTACATTGACCTTGTAGGGTACTGGGATGTGATTTATAAACTTGCCTTTATTGGCATAAACTTGTGTAAAAACTATTTCAGAAATGGGTAAAGTCTTTGTTTACAGTTCATGTAGCAAGTTACAAGAGGTGTAAAGGTATTTATGGATTTATTTATGGATGGCACTGTAGATTACATGTATATAAAAAAAATTAAGGTATTAGCACCCTAATGCATTACCTCCGCTTTGAAGAGTATTCAAATAGGCTAGAATTACTGTTAACTACATTGAAAATGAGGGCCATGGGTTCAATCCCCAGAAGGGTCAACTTTTTTTTTTCTTTTTTTTTTCTTTTAACATTATTTATGTATCTCTCATGTCCCATATGGAAAGAAAAAAGTGTTTAATTTTGAATTTTTAATTTATATAGGTATTTATTGGCTAAATTATGCTAAATCTAGTAATAAATATGGTACCTGATATTTTCAAAGTGTAATATAATCAAAACTAGACGGTAAAAGTATTTCATATTTTACAAGATCAACCAATATACTTTTTTTAAAAATTTAGGGAAACTTTGAAAACAGGCACTCATTTGGGTAAATTTTAAGAATTTTTTGAATTAGGCTCCCTAAGTAGAAAAATGGTCAGACATGTGGTAAAAATGGGTGGGGTAGGGTAACATTTTTACACAGATTTCATAAATTTTAAGTAGAAACCATAATTTTGCTTATGTGGATTGTTAGCTGAATGGTACTATTTGTTTCTTACCAAAAATTCATGGGAAAACATTTTTCATTAGAATGTTATTGCAGATTATTTAAAGGTTCCTCATTTCTATAAAAAGGGCCCTCATAACATCCTAGCTTGAGTTCAGAAAAGTGGCCATAACTAGATTTCCGTACGGTAAACTTTGTTTAAATTTTGCATACAGGTGTACTTTAAGGTAAACATCTGACCTATGATGTCAATTCTTTAGTTCCTTATAGTGCCCATTAGGGTCCTAATACCTTAAAGATAATGTATCCTTTTCTGAAAGCACATTTGCCTAGAACTTTTATATTCTAGTAGACCTTTTGCAGGTTTATTCAAATCAAATCCCTTGGGTCACATAAGCCAAGTATGTGGTCATTAAGTCAACACATTTTAACCTTTTCAACTTATTGATATAATATTTAAGCTATAACCTTCATAATCAGGCATTTGATACATCTGAACATTGTTTATCATTTGGCATGCTGATATTTTACCTTGACTCTAATTTGACCTTGACTGTTAAGATCAAAATTTCAAACCTTCATACATGTAGTTTTACTACTGTTGAAGATATGGCCTTCATATTTGGAAACGATGTACATACTTGTTATAAATTTGACATTCTTCATGTAACCTTGGCCTATACTCGTTATTGACCATTGAGGTCAAGGGTTAAATTTTCATGTCATAACTTACCATTTTCAATAACCTGTATGTTTTTACACAAGATACATTTGATAATTCTGTTATGTTTTACATGCTGTAATATAAACCTTAAGTTCTTAGTATAATTTGACAGTGATCATTGTTAGGTGATAATGTACAGGTGATACACTACAAGCAAATGAAAGATTCATTTGTTCCTACTGTTATTTAGTGCTATTCAATGTAGTGGCATTGCATACTTCACATATGCACCTTTGTGCTAACCTACATTCATGATGAAAGGGTACTATTTATAGCCATGCATAAATAAATAATTATGTTTCTATTTATAGTCATGAAGCAATGGGTGACCTGGTTCATATCATGGGTAGTCTGGTAGATTTAAATGGTAAGATTCTGATACCTGGCATCAATGATGCTGTTGCCAAGCTGACTGAAGAGGAAAAGGCTTTATATGGGCCAATTGACTTTGATACAGTAAGAAATTCCTTTAATGATATTTGAGAAAAACACCAAACATAAAATAGAATTTTGACTTATCATATGTATTTACAGATAAATTTTATGGTTATCTTTAGGATGTGACTCTTGGATAAACTGCTTAGGGCTGCCTTAGCACTTAGAAAAACAAGCTGATGTTTGTGATGAAACAAAAAATGACTGTCCCAAATTCAAGATGAAGGATTTGGGTTTGTTGGCCAGAAGGCAGCAACCTGAACCACTCAGCCATGAAGGCCACCAGTAAACTATTAATGACTATATTTTATGTTCACAGAATGAGTATAAGTCTGATATTGGCGTTAATAAACTGATACACAAAGAGAAACATGAGGTTCTAATGGCGCGCTGGAGATACCCATCTCTGTCACTACATGGTATGGTATATCTGTACTATTTCCATATCACTTTCAATTTCACATTAATATTCTTGGTTTCTTGTTAACTGAAAAGAAATACATATAGTTTTTTTTATCAAAATCATAATTAGGACTGCTTGACTATATAATATTTTATAAAAGATACTAGCCTGGGATTAATGTGTTGACATTTTTGCTTTTTCATAACATACATGCTATTTTGTATAGGCATGTCACTATTACTGGTTGTTGAGTTACTGAAATAGGGTTTCTATTGGACTTTGAAATTATAACTCACTTGTAAGCACTTAATCACTTTACATATTTCAATATTCTTTAGATGTTGTAGTGTTACATATAATGATATTTTCTAGGTATCGAGGGAGCATTCAGCGGTGCAGGAGCTAAAACTGTGATACCCAGGAAGGTGATTGGGAAATTTTCTATTAGATTAGTGCCTGATATGCAGCCAGAAGAGGTTGAAAGATTGGTAAAAGCTCATGTTGAGAAAGTGCATGCAGACAGAGGTAGTCCAAATAGAATTAAGTAAGAAAGATCAAACTTTTTTTACCTCATTTATTATAATCAAAATCTTTTATCCTGTGATAAATGATTAAAGTGTAATCAAGATATATTTTACTGTACTGTTATAAGTATCTTCAAAGGCATTTATATTAAGTCCATACAAAATTAAAAATAAGAAAAATGATATATTGAGTGGCTCATGCAAAGAATTGATAGATTAAACTTCTAAAAATAGTGTCTGTTATTTTTTTTAGGGATTTTTGTCTGAAACTTATTATTTCATAATGTTAGTGCAGTAATGAGTTAACTAAAAAAAAACTTTCAACATTAGTTAACCCGTTACTCCCCTATTGACAAAGGTGATGATTGGTTAACAATTGTAAAACAAAGTTTAGTTTTTATAAAACAGTATGGACTGATAAATATTTGTCTAAAACTAAGAATAAATTTCTATTTGATGATGGTGTATTTTATAGTTGTATCTTGTATATACTAAACTTGAGCCGCGACATGACAAAACTAACTAAGTGTTTAGCGCAGTCTGATCAGGATCCATACTGTTCGCTTACAAACCCTATTACAAGTTGAGAAACTGATAGCAAACAGCATGGATCCTCATCAGACTATGCGGATGTGCAGGCTGGTCTGGATCCATGCTGGTTGCAAACGCTCTATGTTGGTTTTGTCACAGCGAAGCTCATATACTTTGTTTATAGCCAGCCATGTAAATTTTTACTTTGGCGGAAATTTTAAATAACTGTTATAAAGTACTATATATCTATGCAGGATACACATGGGTCATGGAGGTAAACCATGGGTCAGTGATTTTAATCATCCAAACTATGTAGCAGGCAGAAATGCTGTGAAATCAGGTAATTGCTTGTGCTTGGTGTAGGGGCGCTAGTGTTTCTTGGTGTAAAGTGTAAAAATCAGAAGTACCTGCAAACTTCTTTTATCGAACAAATAGTATTATGTTCATCTTAAGTTTTTACAAATTTAACACTTTTTTTTCTTTTTCCATTTCTATGTCTTACGGTGTTCCTATTAGAAATAATCCTTGTCGGACATGTCCCTTAACTAAGGTTTAAAGTGGTTTTAATCTGGTCCCAACTTTCAAAAGTTTCCCTGAACATTTTCTGTAGCGCTTTTATCTGGTCTGAAGTGTCTTTAAATTATGGTAGGTTTTGAAGATTCCCTGACTTAGCCTTTGGATTCTTTTGACTTAGCCTTTGGATTCTTTATACCCATGGTTTACCTCCTTACCTGTATGATGTCCAACTGTAAGATGATAGGTTGCCTATCAAATTTTAAATTAATTTCTGTAATAACTGTAAATTTAGATACATGTACATTTATTAGACATGTTTATTTTGTCTTTATTATGCATTTTACCATTGGCGACTGAAAATTTATTCTTAGTAAAATCTGGCATTTATTTTGAATTCATTTATATCTTTAAATATCATTTTAATATTATCATGCAAAATTTCATGGATTTACTGTGAATAATTTCTACTTTAGCCATGAATGTGTTAATAAGGAAGATTTAATTTAGTGTGAATTATATTATTATCATTACCAATTATCAACATCTCTTCTTTTTCTGCCTGACTTTGCCAGGCATAATCGGTACATATTTAATGTTTTTTCACTCATTCACTGTGGCAGATTATTTCTGGAAGGTGGAGGAGGTAAACCATGGGTCAGTGATTTTAATCACCCTAATTTTGTAGCGGGCAGGAAAGCCGTCAATAAAGGTGCCTATTTCTATATATGTTAAGAAATTTTCTCAATTATATAGTAGTTGCAATTATCAGATCGTTCTACATATATATAATTGGCTTTAACCACAGCCTCTATGTGAATCAGAAAAAAGCACAAAAGCATGTTCTCTTTTTAACAAGCCACTAGATTTTCCTGTTGATTCTTGACATCTGATTTTTGTGTTTTATTTCTTTTCAAGGTCATAATGACATACATGTAATTTCATTATACTGCATTATTGTAACATCGCTTTTGGGCACTTAATCTTATATACGCAGCTGTTGTCAATTTTTGGATTTATTTTCATTTTGCCTGAAACAAAGAACTTTTGTTTTATAATAAATTCATTTCAAAGGTTGTTGATATGTTATATGATCATATGTAAATTGTTATTTACAATATAACTTTCTACTAGCAGCTCAGGTTATATATACAAACAAGCACTTATAATATATAGGACCATATAACTTGTTAGAAATCTTTATAGCTAATAATATAAATGTACTTTATACAGCAATTTGAAATTTTATCAATAATACTGTTAAGTGGGATTTAAGATATCCCATCTGGATGAATTTATGTTTAGAAAATCAGACTTTACAGTAATTATTGATAAAATTTCAAGTTAGGGCAGTAATTTGTTGCGTATTTATTCTTTCAATGTGAATCGTTGAACTGTATCATAAATAATTTAACAATAATTTGTTAAATTTTGTACTAAAATTATTTTCTTGTAAACAATACATATACATAAAAAGAAAATCATTTAATTAGTATTCTCTGTAGGCAAACCTTGGCAATAAAATGAATTGCTAAGCATGTTAGAAAGGGCTTAATAACCTCATTTTCTTGATGATCATTTCTGTTAACCAAAGCTTACGAAGGAAGCCTTTATGCTAATACATATATTTTTAACAAAGGAGCACCAAAGCGATCATAAGTTAAGTCAAGGTCAAGTTGTTCATACATGTATTAACTATTTATTTAAGTTGTATTTAATTAAGTTGTATTTATTTAAGTGTTTTTTTTTTCTGTTTATAAATACATACATATTTTCCCCCAGTATTTGGCGTGGAGCCTGACCTTACTAGAGAGGGTGGAAGTATTCCAGTGACCTTGACCTTCCAAGAGGCGACAGGGAAGAACGTCATACTTCTCCCTATAGGAGCCTCTGATGATGGCGCTCATTCACAAAATGAAAAGATTGACAAATACAATTACATTCAGGGGGTAATTATCAAATACTTTTTGTTAGCATATTAGAAGTTAAACTGTTTTTCAGAAAAATTTCTATTTCCCTATTTCATAGTACAAAAAAATTAATGTTCCTCAACGCTCATACTGTCAGTTTTGTAGAATGGACTTGCCTAGTTTTGAATTTAAGAACTGTCACATAATTTACAGTGTAAGGGATTTTAGTATCTTGTAATACCCCCATTGAGTAGCCGGTAACGGTATAGAGCCATAGTGACTGTGCTGGTTGCAGAAGTTAGTCTTCAGTGCTTTATGCATACATGTATAATATTTTTCTTCTTGGTATTGTTTAGCCTTATGAAAGCAAGTATTTTCATAATAAAGGCTAAAGGGTTTTACAATTATTTTTAAGATTTATTCAAAGTTGAGCAACAAAGATATTCAGAGTGTACTCTATTTGATCATTGAAACATACTTTTGGGTTTTTGTTATAATATATATTTTATCTATTGGTTGTTATTCTTGTTAGTTTTTGAAACCCAAAAGTTAAGGCAACATAAGAATTAGCGACATGAGGTAACAAATTATAATATTACATTATTTTATTACTTTGTTTTCAGATAAAACTGCTTGGAGCGTACATGGATGAAATTGGAAAAACTGCATAATAAATAGAGAACTATTGTCATTGACTGTTTAATGTGCCATCAGTGATTTTCCTGCTTATATAACAGACTCAGATAAACGACCTGTTCCCAATTGAAATATTCTTTAAAATTAAGCAGTTTTAAAATCTGAACTTAAACCTGCTTTTTAGTTCCCAAATCAGCAATTTTAGTGATATTTTTCCCCAAAATTTAAGAGGCTAAGGCCTCTTCCTAGTTAAGTGAGAAAAATCACTGGCCATTATTGTTCAAATATTAATGAAATGGCCTTCCTGGAAGGCTTAGACTAAAATCTACATGTACTCAACTAACAATTGTGGCAAATATTAACATGTTTATGATGAAAGTATAATTATGTTAGAGCCATTGGACATGTAGTGCTAGTATTTTTTATGGGGTGTGGATATTATATAATTAGATTTGATATTTTGATGTTTGAAAATGTAGACATTTAAATTTTGTTATGCAGTATTAATTGGGAGTCATTCACCAGTCAAGTGTAACCTCAGTAACCCCAGGGAAAAGCAGGGATATTACTGCTGAATTATCAGAAGAAAAATTTAGTTTGTATATTGTTTGTAAGTAACAATATTTCTGACAAAGGCATTCAAGTTGATATGTTGTCTTAATCTTATTTACTGAATTTTATTATTTACAAGCAAAACGACAGAGATTTTTCTTTAATTGTGTGAGAAAAATCAAATTTGATAATTCATAATTGAAATGGCAGGATTATTTTAAAGCAACATACAAAAACAAAATTAATACAGTCACTGAGTCAGTTATTTCATCTTGTGTAATGCACTTAATATCCACTTAAACTACTTAAAGAAAATCATGAGTTAAGATATGCACTGATAGTAACATAAATGAAGTAGAAATATGGTGTAAAAAAATTAGCATTTAACATTATTCATGAAGTGAGTTATGTTTTGGGTTGCAAATACCAATAAATTTCTTAGAACTAGTTACATTTTTCTTTAGTTTAAAATCTTTGTTTGCACATCTGGAGATAATTAGTTTGAATTCTTTGCCAATTTTCTGATGGATATTTATGTAAATGATTAGTTCTACAGTTCTTTCAGATATTAATACAAGACTACAGTGCACATGTGTTAACCAGATAAACTGATTATTATGATACATGTATTTACAATTTAAACATACGATATTAAATCCCTATTTTTTATCATGATTAAATTATGCGATGTAGTACCTTAAGTGTTCTTATTTCATTGATTTGTATCATGGTTCCAAATTCATTTCTTGTCAGAAAGTTAAATACAGCAATGTTATTTCTTTTGTATTATTTCAATAAATGGCTACTAATATATGACTTTTTCATCAAGCAGAGTTTGTTTTAATTTTTATGGCCGTCTCCATAAATTACACATCTAAGATTATGATAAATGTGTCCAGCCATATTCACTGTTTAAGGAGAAAACTAAAAATATGTCCATAGGAAAGTTACATCCCAGGTTCATTGTCAGTTGTCACAGAGAATTTACAAACTTCTGCATATTTGATGAAAATTAAAGTGTCAAGAAAATTATATAATGACAGTATTATGACCAGAAAGTTTCACTTGTGACTGAGGAACTCTTCTTATTGTGAATAAGTGGCGTGATAGTTCAGTTGGTTAGGCCACTGACTGTCACTCCTGAGGTTATGGGTTCTAGATTTTCAGAGACACTTTCAGTGTTTCCCCACCTTCCTAGAGGTGTTACCTGGTAAGAAATTCAGGTAATCTTCGCATGTATCTTCCCTTTTATCTCATCTAGCTAGAGTCTAGAGGCATCTCTACGTCCCTGCGAGGGGTTTGACATTAATTGAAGATAGATAGATAGATAGATAGGTAGATAGATAGATAGATAGATAGATAGAATATTGATACAATTGACATTACGCCGCCTGTCAATCAAGCTGGCAGGGTCTTACAGATAAGCCAATCGGCGATTGTTATCAGTTTCACGCTAAGATGTCTGAGAAGTCCGCCATTTTCCTTAGACAAACTATTTGTATAAGACAAAGGTGGAGCAGTACGTATTTTTATTGAAATTATTTTGATTTTTTGTCAATTTAAAGCTATTAAAACGGTTTATCAAAGTTACAAAATATCCAGACATATTGATAAGATGGAGTCAGTTCATTTTACAAATTTAAAACAAAAATATCAGTAACTTTCTATATATGAAGATAGTAAGTTATATAGCAGGTACGAAAGTTAAAACTGGCTATACCACATTGCATTAAATAAGGGAAAAGTTTAAACAAATACTCTTTTCCTTCCTTCATTACAATTATGTAAATTCATAATCACATAATATATTACATGTATAAGGTCTCAGAATATCCAGATGATATGACATTTTTTGTTCGTTCTTAACATAGTGTCTATAAAAAGCTGCAGTAGAAAGAAATACCTGCAAATAAAATGAGAGATATGTAATAAATATTTTAGGTGAAATTATCCTATCTAAATATTTCTATTAAAGCTATATGAATTAAGATTAAATATTAAAATACATCTGCTTCAATAACATCATATCTGATCACGGTTTTTATTTAAAACCGGTTTTAATTTAAAGCCGAGGTCTGGTATATGCAAAAACTTATTTTGAAGTGAATAATATTGCGTTTTATCACGAAAATATCTAATGTACAAATATGCATATAATCATATATCATACAAAAAATTTACGCAAGGGCAATTTTCTCATTTAATTTTGACAATTTATGCACAAATGCATTCCATATAAGAGATTTTGTTACTGTTTCATTGATATAGTTTTACTTTTATATGTTCCGCTACAACAATTTTAACTATCTTTGAATTTTTAAACTAAAATTATATTTTGTCAGTAACTCAGAGAGAAATATAACAAAATATTTGCCAAACGTTTTATTCATTATTAATGCGTGAATGCAGTTATTTGTTACTTTTTTGAATACCATAATACATTGAACTATTCAATAAAAGCATTATGTACAGTTTTATATATACCAAATTATATAATATATTCATTAGTCACTTAAGTGGCATGACAGTTTTGCGTAAACGTGGGTACAGTCTTTTGTCTAAGGTTCTGAATGACCGGGTCACGTGAAACAGTGGGCGGAGCAATCTCTTCTCTGGCGTAATGTCAATTGTATTAAATAAATGACTTCACATCAAATGTCATTGTGACCTTGGCCTTATGACCTCAAAATGAATAGTGGTCATTATAATTGGCCATGGGCAATGTTCCTACAAAATTAATCAAACATATTGTCATTTTATCTAAAGTCATTGTTTGGACAAGTTTTTCTTCAAGGTTTCATTGTGACCTTGACCTAATGATCTGGGAATCAATATAGGTCATATTTACTGGCTGTGGATAATGTCCTTTTACTAAATTTGAATAAGTCATAGATGAGACAAAGATTTTAGTGCTACTGTGACTCTGACATTTAACCTCAAAGTCAATACAATGTCAACTACTGGCCATGGGCATATTATTAGCTCACCTGTCACAAAGTGACAGGGTGAGCTTTTGTGATCGCTTTTCGTCCGGTATCCGTCCGTCCGTTGTCCGTCCGTCATCCGTCCGTCCGTCCGTAAACTTTTGCTTTAAATGACATCTCCTCAACCACTGAGCCAATTTCATCCAAACTTCACAGGAATGTTCCTTTGGTGGTCACCTTTGAAAATTGTTCAAAGAATTGAATTCCATGCAGAACTCTGGTTGCCATGGCAACCAAAAGAAAAATCTTTAAATATCTTCTTTTAAACAACCCTAAGAGCTAGAGCTTAGATATTTGGCATGAATCATCTTCTAATGAGTGTCTACCAAGTTTGTTCAAATAAAAGCCCTGGGGTCAAAATTGGCCCCGCCCCAGGGGGTCATTGATTTTCCCTATATGCATATAGTAAAAACTTAAAAAAATTTCTTTTAAAGAACCCAAAGAGCTAGAGCTAAGATATTTGGCATGAAACATCTTCTAGTGAGTGTCTACCAAGTTTGTTCAAATAAAAGCCCTTGGGTCAAAATTGGCCCCGCCCCAGGGGGTCATTGATTTTCCCTATATGCATATAGTAAAAACTTAAAAAATCTTCTTTTAAAGAACCGTAAGAGCTAGAGCTTAGATATTTGGCATGAAACATCTTCTAGTGAATGTCTACCAAGTTTGTTCGAATAAAAGCCCTGGGGTCAAAACTGGCCCCGCCCAGGGGGTCATTGATTTTCCCTATATGCATATAGTAAAAATCTTCTTTTAAAGAACTCAAAGAGCTAGAGCTAAGATATTTAGCATGAAACATGTTCTAATGGGTGTCTACCAAGTATGTTCAAATAAAAGCCCTTGGGTCAAAACTGGCCGCTCCCCGTGGGTCATTGATTTTCCTTGTATGTGTATAGCAAAAACTTAAAAATCTTCTTTGAAAAAACCCAAATAGCTAGAGTTTAGATATTAAGCATGAAACATCTTTAAGTAAATATCTACAAAGTTTGTTCAAATAAAAGCCCGGGGGTCAAAACTGGCCCTGCCCCAGGGGTTTCATTGTTTTTAACTATATGTGTATAGTAAAAACTTAAAAAATCTTCTTTTAAAAAACCCAATGAGCTAGAACTTAGATGTTTAGCATGAAACATCTTCTTATGGGTGTCTACCAAGTCTGTTGGTTTAAACATATTTTATTCTTTCTCACATAAGCATATTTACATACATGATATTTACAATCAAAACAAGAAAAGGATTAGACTTACCAAGTCTGTTCAAATAAACAAATAAAAGCCCTTGGGTAAAAATTGGCCCGGGGAGGGGGGATGGGGGCTATATACAGGTGAGCGACCTCAGGGCCATCATGGCCCTCTTGTTTTTTAACAAGCCTTTTCATTCACGATGACAACGATATTGGCACAAATTGATATTCGTTTGTGAAACACGTTGTATTATTTATTACTAAGAAAAATAATTAATTATGTCTGAAAGTCAGGAATTAACGGATTTTGTTCCAGATGTTAACAGTCTTGGTCTTAACACAGAGGTTTTACAACAGGTAACTTCCTAAATATTTTCAAACATTGTGGTTTAACACTACATGAACTAAAAGTGAACATATATTCGGATATAAAATTTGTAACCATCCAAAGTGCAAACATGTTATTCAGCTTATAAGAACTTACCTAAATTGACTTAAAATACCTTATCCTATTGATCCATGTAAAGAATGTTAAACATATACTTTTTCTCTGTTAAATCAGTTTTAAAAAAATCTTTAATGATGTATTTGCTTCTCACCTCTCTCCATCTGACAGTTGTCAATGACCATAAATATAATAAATATGCATATAATTTTGTAATGAGGCAAAATATTAGTCAGTCTAGATATCCAGAAATGTTAAAGTTGATTGTTACAAAATAGAAACTGATCAACTATGCAAATTCGATAGTCAAAATTCTGACCAGTTCCATTACAAACTTTATGGTCAAACACTTAGCAGAAACATGGATAGCTCAGTAAAATATGGCAGAAACCTGAGTGTGGACATTAGCTAAGGCATAAACTTGAAATACATGTAGACAGAGTTACAAATAATGCAAACAGAACATTACCAAACATTTGAACACTGTTGAAAAATTTTGTCTGACATACCCATAACTAAGTTAATGCTCTTCCATTTTTGGTCACTCCACACAAAAACAAATATATACAGCCAAGAGATGGTTTGTTACAAAGATAAAAAAGTGACTATAGTATATGTCACTATACAAGTGTCACACAGAACTCCAAAACACACAAGGCTGAGGCACATTATATAGAGGAGGCGTAATTGATACCAGGTTAATGATGTTCTATAAAATTTATCTGTCCCCCTCACTCTGAAGTCCAAGATAATTAGTTGTAGCAATTACTTCTTCCGGTTATTCAAAACAAGATGGCGCAATTTTTTTCAGCTGTACAAACAATGTGATTTTTCGCATTTACAACTAGTTCCTGAGTAATGAAACAGTAAAATAATTGACTAATTTGTAAAAGGTACATATAAAATGAACTGATAAGACTCATTGATGATCAGTATTGACCAGTATTGTCCATTATACATGTACTTATTGAGCATTGGTCAGCGAAGAACTTATTGAAGGCATACCGCCATTCATCAATGGGAAGACGTAAGCGACAGAAATCGTCACCAGCTCAAAAACCCTTTACCAAAAAATACAAACTTTCCAAAGTAGACACCGTGAGTAATATCTCAGCTGATAGTGAGAAAGCAGACTACTTTGAAGCTCTTGAGGATATTGACATTCCATCATTACATACCCCACCCAACATCAACTATTCTGCAAATATGAAATTCAGCCAAGAGGATATCAATGAACTGAGTGCTAAATTAGGCCCTATATTGATAAAAGACCTTAAATCAGCACTGAAAGAAGAGGTCCTGAAGGAAATTAGACACGAAATTTGTGAAATATTAGTACACAAAGAGACACAAGAATTTCGAGATGAAATTTCCAAACTGAAAGCTGAAATTAATTATTTACAATCAGAGGTCAAATCTGCACATGCAAAACATGACGATCTAGAACAGTACGGACGGAGGATGTGTTTAGATATCTCTGGAATTCCGGGTGATAGTGGCAAACTGGACGAGAATGTTGAGAAGAAGCTTTTAGACCAAGCAAAGAAGGTTGGCCTGGCCCTAAATGCTTCTGATATTGACAAATGTCATCGTAAGGGAAAGCCTGTAGTGTAGATAATTTCAACCGCAAGGTTATTGTGAAGTTTACAAATTCTATTTAGGCTCGACAGAGAGTTTATAACGCGAGGAAGAGATTAGGCGATGGTATTTTTGTTCAGGAAAATTTGACTCCATATCGAGAGTACCTAGGTTATGAGGCAAGAAAACTTAAACGGGCTGGCCTTGTTACAAAGACATGGGTGGCCGGATGTAAGATATACGCTCAAGTAACCGGGGAAAAAACGGGCAGACAGATTATGAACATGGATGACATCAATGCAATTAGTGATAAGTAACCGATTTTGACAACTGTCAAAAAATGTAAACAATCTTTAATGCACTAGATAGTGACCTTTGTTGACATAAAGGCTCATTTAATCATGATCACTCAGCCGTATTACTACCTGTTAGTTAGAATGACCTGCATAGTAAATAAGACTTACCTGTAAGATTTTCTATGAGCAGAGGATTTATCCCTATATATCCTTATTATACTGTCTAACTGTTTATAATATTCTGCACATTAATTCCAATCCATATATTCATTTGCACATTTGCTATTAGTCTATATATTTATTCAGTAGCATTATGAATCTACCTAATTTCTCAATTAATTCATAAAAAGATTATTTCATTTCATGAATGAGTACATTTTTTTTGGTAACACACATGTTCAGTACCCATGAAGCGCGCGATTAGAAACATAAAGAGAAATAACTAGTTCATCTTTCACACAGAAAACTGGTTATTATGTCATTGTAAATTTACATCACGTATTTTTCACCATGTCAGATTAAAAATGTAATTAAATTATGCTCTGCTTTTCATTTAAGTTTTACTGATAAAATTAATACTTCAGTTTTAAAAATTGCGAAAAAAATGTATACTATTTAATAACCAGTGAAGTATTACAGTCTATGAAAACGATTGGATTTCGTGTTGTTTATAAAAGATTACAAGTATTACAAGGTTTTTTTTAGGGCCGTATGTAGATTTTTGTCAAATAAATGTCAGTCTGTACCTTTTGATTGTTTGTTTGTTTGATTTGTATTGTATGCTTGGTGTTTCCTTGTTGTTATTGTTTGTAAAATTTTCTTCTTTACTGATGCATAAAGTATTCTGATTTGTAGCTAGTTTGTAAATTTCTTTGTGCTTAGACCTAGACTACGTGTAAGTTGATCAAGTTTCTTGTGTATTCCTATTTTTTCTATTTTTTTTAATAGTAAAAATTATAACTTTGAATATTGAAAATTAAAATAGAATTTGAATGTTGGTATTTTGTCACCATAAAATCTCTGACATTAGTAACAAATAACGATATCGTTTCTGTCAATTCAAATTTATTGTAAGTACATGTAGTGTATAAACGCACACACACACACACACACACGCACACGCATATGCACACGTGCATTCTATGACAAAATTTGCAAAATGTTAACAAAATAATCAATTAGTTGTACTTTTTTTGTATTATTTGTTCTGGTTTGTTATCTTGTCCATTACATATAATGTACTGTCTTTTGTACCATAATTAAATTATTTTATTCTACTTTATCATCATACTTGAGGAACTAGTTTATTCCTATCTCATTATGTTTAGTATTTACATTTCTGTTATTTTATTTATGCTAACCTTTGTCTCTCTGAATATAGCACTGTGTTACGTTGCCTGCCCGTTACCTGGCCTCAGTCATGATATTATCTTTTATAACTCAGTCCTACGGTCGGTCATAGTTTATTTAGCAGTTATACTTTACCCTCATAGATGAATGATATAGAAGCTTATCGATCGGCTATTGGACTGTTTAATAATGGAAGACAATGGTTTAAGAAGCGTTTACAATTTAAAGTTACATTTTATCAAGAACTCATTTTATCGTTAGTTAAATTAGTATTACATTTCATTAATTTTTTGGAGTTAAGTATAACTAAGATACAATACATTCATAGTGATATCGGTTTTAAATTTTGTGTTATTATATTGATACTTAACGATTGCAGTCAAAGGGAGATAACAAGTGATTATACATTTGTATTGATTAATTGTTATTATTTGTTATTTTTGAATATATTAATTTTCTTGTCTGGAGATGTCGAATTGAATCCAGGTCCTGAGTCTGCGTCTTTTTCTATTTTTCATCAAAATATAAGAAGTATTAGAAACAAGTTTGATTATATATGTAAAAAATAATTTTCTTGACTTCGACGTTTTATGTTTCACTGAAACTAAGTTGTCCCCAGATGTTACCGACGACATGATAACATTAGATGGTTATAGCTCAATATACAGAAAAGATAATTCTTCCCATTCCGGCGGACTTTTAGTTTATGTGTCTAATAACTTCGCATCTAAAAGACTATTTTGTTTGGAAAACATTTTACCAGGATCTATCTGGGTAGAAGTAAAATCTGATTCAAACAAATTTTTTATATGTAATTTGTATCGTCCTCCACAAACGCCTGTAGAATTATGGGAAAGACTTAATATTTGCATTGATAGGGCTTTAGAACTTTCCAGTAATATTATTTGTTAGGAGATGTAAACGAAGATCAACTTAATGTGAATAAACCACAAGTTCCGAGATATATTATTGCTAAATAATATGAAAAATGTTATAAGTGAACCTACGCGTATAAGTCCCTATTCTCGAACACTTTTAGATCCGATTGCATTAACAAACAATATTCAAAATTTTCACTCGGGTATTTTCGAAACGGACAAAGGTATAAGTGATCATTTCGGAACCTTTTCTTTATCAAAACTTACATTCACCCTACGACTTCTTTCAAACGCAGAGTATGGAACTATAAACGTGCAGATTTTAATGAACTAAACAATAAAATTCGAGCGACAGATTGGTCTTTTTTACAAAGTGATAATATAGATAATGCTACACGCACATTTACAAATACATTTTTAGAATTAGCTTCGTCATGCATTCCGACTAGTCTAGCAACAATTAGACCAAACGACAGACCATGGTACAACTCTGAAATAAGAAAAACCTCACGACTGTCCTGATGGACAAAAACGTAAAGCTGTGAATTCAGGAAGCCTGTCTGATTGGAACAATTATAAACGAATTAGAAATAAAGTTAATAACATGAAAAAACATGCTAAAGAAATATTTTTTAATAATATAGAGCTTACACTTAACGACCTTAGTTCAACCACAGGCGCTAGTCACATAATCAAATATTTTACATAATCGGTCTATATATGTATATAAAGATATCTTTAAATATTTTACATAATCGGTCTATATATGTATATAAAGATATCTTTATATACTAGGGATGGCAACGAGTAACCGGTTAACCGAGTACTCGATCGAACGTCCGAATATCGGTTAACAAAACTGATATTCGATTACTCGGAAAAATATATATTTTCTTTTTTTTGCGATTTAGAAAGATTAGTATATCCAATTAGTTCAGAAATTCGGAGATTAGCATGTATCTTCATAAATACCCGTTAAATGCAATCAAAACATCCTTGCAGAGGTGCGAAAATGGTATCATAAATTTAACGAGGCGATCAACAGTTTGACACGCGCACCTGTGTCGCTTATGTCATCCAGCCTCTTATGATATTTAATTACCTTTAATTGTGTAGCCGAAGTAACTGTTTTGAAAACAACAAAGGGCCGATTGCTATCATGAATGTAAGAATAAAGGTAACTTGTATTTAGACCAGGTTAAACTTTTGTTGCCGCCGATCAGTCTATATTATTTCAAGAAGAAAAAAAATATATATGAACTGTTATACATGTTTAAAACTTGATATTGCATAAATCAAAACGTTGTAAAATATTATGTTGTTGATTTAATTATAATTAATTTGTCTCCCGTGAAGTCCTATTTACTATCTACAGAATTCTATGAATTTAAATAGAAAACGAAAGGAGCATGCGGACGGTGTTGATATTGTGTGATAAACTTTGAAGATCACTGACAATTATCCGAGTAACCGAGTACTCGATCGGAAAAATGACCGAGTACTCGAGTATTGATTTTGGTATTCGTTGCCATCCCTATTATATACATATATAGACCGATTATGTAAAATATTTGATTATGTGACTAGCGCCTGTGAGTTCAACTAATAAAAACAATACTGGAAATTGGTAAAAGTTTTAGTTAAAGAAAATTCATCGAGTTGCGTAATTTTACATTCCTCCGCTTTATATAAACACGGACACATTAGCATTTTCTGATCTAGACAAAGCCAATACTTTAAATGATTTTTTTGTTTCAATTGCAAATATAGACTACTTATACTAATTTACCTCAATTCGAGCCAAAAACAAATATAAATTTAAGCAATATTGATATTACAAATCAAGATGTTATAGACATATTATCTAATTGTCGTAAATAAAGCTAGCGGACCAGACGAAATCAATCATAGAATGCTTAAGGAAACTAAAAATGTCACACTATTTGTAAGCCTTTGACTATACTTCTTAATAGATCCATTCAAAATAACACATATCCAAACTTATGGAAAGTTGCTAATGTAATGCCATTATTTAAAAAAGGTGATAAATCTATTTCATCCAATTACAGACCTGTATCTCTTATAAGTTGTTTAGGAAAAATTATGGAACGTATTATTTTTAAGTATTCATACAACTTTCTACATGAAAATAAATTAATATACAGAAATCAGGCAGGCTTCCTTCCAGGACACTCAACCGTGTACCAATTAATAGACATTTATAATCAAATATGTAAAGCTTTCGATGAAGGAAAAGCTACATGTTTAGTTTTTTGTGACATAAGTAAAGCCTTTGATAGAGTATGGCTGAAACAATACGGATTTACCGGAAATTTATTAAATTGGTTCTCAAATTATTTAGAAAATAGAAAACAAAAAATTTTGTAAGCACTACACACTCTAATGAGAAATTTTTAACAGCTCAGGTGTGCCTCAAGGCTCAGTTTTAGGGCCTCTTTTATTCCTTATTTATGTGAATGATATAGCTGACGCTCTTACAAGTGTCACAAGGTTGTTTGCAGACGATAGCTCATTAGCAATAAGTTCGCAAGATAAAACTTATATAGAAAGTACTATAAACGCTGACCTGGAAATTATATCAACATGGGCAAATCAGTAGTTAATACAATTTAACGCTGCTAAAACTGAAGTTATGTATTTTTCACTTTCCAAAAATAATCGCGACACCCCTGATATTTAAAACTTCCAAAATAATCATCTTAATTTTGTTCATTCTCACAAGCATTTAGGTGTTACATTAAGTGATGATGGTACATGGCATCAACATAGTTCGAATATAACTTAAATTCTGCCTCTAAAATTCTTGGTTCAATGCGAATGCTAAAGTTTAAATTAAAAAGAAAAACACTTAATCAAATCTATATAGCCTATTTAAGACCAATTATTGAATATGCATCTATAGTGTGGGACAGTTGTACTGTGTATGAACAAAATTCACTTGAAAGCATTCAATACGATGCTGCTCGAATTGTAACTGGTCTAACGAGGTCAGTATCTATCGCCAACCTTCTTCGTGAAATCGGTTGGGTATCACTTGCAGACAGAAGGAAAATGCAAAAATTAATTCTAGTTTTTAAACATAACCAAGGCGAGCTTCCCTGTTATTTAAGTGATATTTTTCCAGATATAGTTAGTAATACTAGTACATATAATTTAAGAAACAACGAAAACTACGCAACTGTTACCGGACATGTAGAAATTTATTCAAAATCAGTGATACCATATTCCATTAAATTATGGAACAGTTTAGATCTTTAAACGCAAACGTCTCCTACACTTTCATCTTTCAAAATCAAAATTAAAAAATCTTTACGCCGCCTCTAGTTCCGATATTTTTCCTTACTGGTGACAGATGTTTACAAATTCACCACATATGTATAAGAAATAAGTGTAGCAATTTAAATGCTGATTTGCACTAGAATCACTAAATACGTGACAATTCAAATTGTGAATGCGGTTTTTATTTTGAAGACGCAGACCATTACTTTTTCAAGTGTCCATTGTATATAAACCAAAGGCTAACGTTATTTATCAATACTCGTGATTATCACCCTCTAAGTGCCCATAAATTGCTTTTCGGTATCACTAATCTTAGTGATGAAGACAATAATATGTTATTCCTTCACGTTCAAAATTTCATCAAATATTCAAGGAGATTTGAAAATGACTAATTTTCAAACTACGCTTTTAAATTGTTGTCCATAACTTATATATAAATGCAGAGGACAGGAACTGGGCAGGAATCTCCTACATGGTGCTTATTCTTTCATTTATTCAATCAATAAATCTTTCTTTCTTTCTTTCTTCCTTCTTTTTTCCTTTTCTTTATTACTTTTTAATTCAAGTTTTGTTAGTCTTTGAACAATTTTTATAATCAAATTCTATTTTCTCAAATGATATCATATTGATTGCTGATATATACATTTAAGGAATTCCAATTACAATTGAATTTATGCACATCTTTTTACTACAATTTAGACGATGTGGGAAGGGCCAATTCTCTAATGTTGTTAAAACTTGTGGCTCGACCCTTTTGCTTTTTTATAATAACTATAACATCCATGTATTAACTGTAAATGTATTCGTTACTGTTTTGTAGTATTGTTTACATGTGACAATGTATCTGTTTTTGTATAAAATGTAAAAGCAATAAAATGTGATTAAAAAGTAGCAATTACTTTCTCTCCGTCAATCCCCCTCCCCCCCTTTAGTCTGAGATAGATTCTCCCCATCACATTATGTAACAACCCAATTAAGCCTCCATTAACAGCATGATGTAAAATCTGACTTTTTCAAATACTGCTCCTCCCACGCACCACAAACCTGTATCTGTGAACAAACTTCCAGAGCAAGTTTTAAGCCATCTCCACTTGCTATTGCTTATCCTTTGACAATCAAGCAGTTGCTCAGCTTCTCTAGTTCCAAACAGTTATTGTAACTATTGTTTCTAATAGTTTATCCTGTACAGCATTGCTCACTAAATTTTTCTTTCATATATGAAATACTAACATTCAGATTTTTTTTTTGCATTTAGATATTTGATGCAAAGAGAGGTGATCCAAATAAGTTTCAAAGCTACTGGGAGATGGATGAAGAAGATGTCGATGAAGAAAGCATGGAGGAAATACAAAGTAATTACATGATTAAAAAAAAATTGTACTCAAATTTGTCAACTTTAACAGTCATAAGCAAAGCAGTTTTTAACACTTCTTTGTTGGCATGTCAGAGTTGGAGTAGTAATTTAAAGATCGCTATCTGTGTGGTTGGAGCGTCCATGACAGAGTGGATAAGGTTGTTGACTTCAAACCGCTTGCTCCTCACTGCTGTGGGTTCAAATCCCGACGGACTTTGGATTCTTTCATGTGAGGAAGCTATCCAGCTGGCTTACAGTAAGTTACAGAATGTCAGTGGTTCTACTCAGGTGCCCGTTCAGGGCCTTAAATAATGCACGGAAGGGCACCTGAGGTCTTCCTCCATCAGTAAAAGCTGGATCGTCGCCAAATGACCTATAAGTGTTTCGGTGTGACGTAAACCCTTATCAAACAAACAAACAAAAATCTGTGCAGGTTCAAACCCCTTCAGGGTCAGGCTGTTGTTTCCTCAAGCAAGAAACTTTTACACTCGTTGATCAATACTGGCTGGTTCCAGGAATGAAGAGTATGTTTATACCTACAAAGAAGTGATTTGATATCAGTTCTGCTGTCAACCTTAAATCTTGCACACTGTTTAAAGTGTCAGTTATAAAACATTATATATTTTATGCATTTGAACTGTGTTTGTTTTTTTATAGAACATCCATCAAAGAAGATTCTTTGGGCAGCAGAGAACAATAAGCTAGACGTTGTGAAGGAGTTGCTGAACTCTGACAGTAGTTTGACGGGAACTAAGGACAATGATGGGTATACACCTCTACATAGAGCCTCTTACAACGGTCATACAGACATGGTTATGGTAAATTCATTTTCTGCCTCAACATTTAGCGATAATTGTCACAGCTGCACACCTTATTGCTTGTCATTGAATGATTCAGATTGTGGTGGTGGTGTTGGTAATTTAACCTCCGGATCACGGCAATAAGCCACATTGAATTTACCTGAGTACAGTTCAGTCATCACATCAGATGATCGTATGATAAAATTTCTTGTTTATATCAGTAACACTTAGCTTTTGAACATATAAAATATTTGAATAGGACCAAAATTTGTGGCAATGACATATACTCTCAGTTTGTAGGTGTCAGTTTGTAGGTGTGATGTAAATAAACATTTCAATTTGTCCAAGTACTCGTGTCTTTTGGTAAATGTCAGTCATATCTTTTGTCGGTTGATACTATGTTAACATCACTTAAGAGGTGTTTGTAATAAATAAAATATACATGTAGTTATAGAATTTATAATGAAAAAACTGTATTGGTTTTGTATGAATACATAAATTAAAAAATTATTTATGTGGATGTAATTTAAATTAACTTTTTGTCTGCTTCTAAATGTGTTCAAACACAGATACCATTATGTTCATTTTGAACTTCATTCGTTTCCTTCTGGACTTTAATTTAACAAGAGCCTGTCAAAAAAAAAAATTGTTTGAAATTCAAATATTAATGAAAATAAAAATAAATACCAGTATACATTTTACTTAATACTTACGACCAGAGAGATTGTTCAGCCAATGAAAAAGGTCAATCATGACATTTAAAACAACTGTTTTTTCTCCTTGCAGCTACTGCTAGAAAATGGAGCAGATATAAATGCCACAACCTCTGATGGCTGGTGCCCAATACACAGTGCTTCCAGGTGGAACCAGGCTGACGTTCTTTCTATACTTTTACAATCTGGCGCAAATATAAATGCTCAAACAAATAGTGGGCAGACTGCGTTACATATAGCATCTTCAGACAGAGAGTGTCGACAATGTTTAGAGCTACTTCTTTGGGACAAAAATACTGATACCAGTCTGAAAAATAGTCTTGGTGAAACTGCTTATGACATTTGCCAGAGGACGAGTGAAAATTGCCTCCTTTTTGAAATGAAAGAAGATAGTGTGAACAAACTTACACAGGATACTTGATAATGCTTAATGAATAGGTTTTTTAAGTCTTTTACTTTCTTGATAAGCCTTTTCTTACCCTATGTGTTGTGATCAAGAAGTTATTGATAAACTATGCATCATGCAAATGGGAACAAATTTTACAAATTATGTGTTCAAGTAGGTGACTAGGAAAAAAAATGGAGATGAACGAAACTATTGACTTCAGATTTTTTGTATTCCTTTAGAGGAGACTATGTTTCCATTGTCATTTTTTATTAAAACTACATGTATTTTGAAGAACAACCATATGAATATGAAAACAACTGGATTGTTCTGTTTTTGGGTTTTTTTTAAAAATTGTTATAGTGAAATTGGCTGATTATATGTTTACACCCTTTAACACAACATGTATTCAATAGGCGAGTTATAAAAATGCTTTGGTTGTACCACTGATGTGCTGAAGTGAAAGAACTTCAGTAGACAATATTGTGCTCCTAAATTGGTTGTAATAAGAGAAAATAGGCATCAGAACTAGAAACTCTTCTGTAAGCTGAATAACTTCCTTACACTATAAGTGTACAATTTACCTGAAAAAATTGTTTCTTAAATACTCATTCTGAAATCCAGTAAAACTGATTTTTATGTGTAAATGTTTATTTTTATTGAAATATTGATGTTGTTAATGATTTAAATACATGTATTAATCTTGCTTTTTTCATATGTAATTGTTGTATAAATAACTAGCCATATTGAATATTTAAATTGTATTAGTCCTCATGTTGAACAATATGTGATGATGATACCATACTATCATTTACAACAGAATGATAGACTACAATGTATTAACATTAAAGGCCCATGATGCACCAGAAATGCTTTTATTTTTATTTCCCAAAAGTTTTTTATTTTTGGTGTTCGGTTATACTTATAGTTTCCAAAAAGTTACTTACTAGCCAGTTACCTGAACCATCTTTGCTTCAGTTGCATTTCGACAATTAGTACAGTTTAAGTATGAAAGTCAAAATAAAATTATTTGAATTTTGGTACTTTAACTACAAACAATTTCACATTCAACACCACTTGCTTCAGGAGGTAAACATCTTACATGATCTATATAACCATTATTCAAATGTTTTAAAACTAAATAGTAATATATGGCTTTCTACTGAAAATAAAAATATTTGGTTTTTGAGGCATAATGTGCCTTTAAGTGATAGTGTGGTACATTTTTTCAAACCACAATGTGATGAATACAATTAATGAAACTTTAACCAAACCATTACTACATGTAAGTGCTGTATCTAGTGTTGTAGGCAGCATGGTACTGCTATCATTAATGTTGTATTATTTTGTAAACAAACTTGCACCTTTTACATAATTCCTATTGTAACTGTATTTTGCTTAGATAAAAATGCATGGTATTTTGCGGCAGTTTTACTGATAATTTTACAGCAAAAGCTAAAATATGAAATACCAAAAATATATATATATTATTGTATGCTTTTTAATATTTATACTTCAAACTTTTAATATTTCTAAATGTATAAACTTGATGTTGTTGACTGCATGTTATCTATGTTTTGTAGTTTTTATAATCCACATGATTAAATCATGTACACTGTTGTCTTGCATAATATATGTATCATAGGTTGTTATTTATTTCATAGAAATAAATGTCATCTATTGATAAATTCATAAAGTGTTATTTTATATTTGATTTCCATCCATAAGTAGCCGTTATAAAGTAATTATTACTTTTTGAAACTAATTCTGGTCTTTTTTTTACACATACTAGTATACTATGCAAGGGTTCATACAGTCTTAAAAACTGCTTAAATTGGAGTCCCTTTCTTCAAATGTTCTTAAAAATGAAAAAAGTGCTTAAAAGTTCTTGTAATTGATTACTCTCTAGAAAAATGCTTAAATATGCTTCAAATATGCTTGAAAATGATTAAATAAGAAGTCAAAAATAAATTTCCAATGTTTTATGACTGTTTTAAAGTTACTTTATCAATGGTTACAAATGATATATGTGCAACAAATTGTGCTTGAAAAATGAGAAAACTTGCTGACAAAGTGCTTGGAATTTTGGCATTGGATATGTGTAAAAACCTTGTATGCTGAATTTATGAAATGTACTTTACTTGCTTTGAAGTTAGATCCATCTATTAAGATTTAAGAGGATCGTGGTTTCACGACACATTAATTTAGCAGCAAATGGTATAAAGCCTGTTTCCTAAAGGGAATCATTTCACAGTTTTTGGTTTCAGCTCTGTATGACAGCCAACTTCATCATATTCTATCACAAATATCATTTTCAAATTGTTTTACTATTTATTTTGTTTTAGTTACACCCGTTTTCAATAATACATATAATTGTGATCTATGTGTTACAAGTAAAATAGTGAATTTCAAAAAAAAAATTCATTACATTCTTTATTTCGAACTCTTGGCACAACTTTAGCATATCAAATGCAACAAGTCAGACATTAAATGATATTAAATAGCATAAGATATTATCATAAGTCAGGCAATTTGACAATTTACATTCAGTAAAGGTAATTATCAAAGTGTCCATCAATCTATTTATTGTTAAAATCTGACGTCTTGAGTCTAGTTACACAACAACATTTACCATCCCATGATTGCTTCAACTGTTATTCAAATGATATTCCATGATGCACTATAAAAGTGTTAACAATGATTTCTATTGTTGAACTTTGTTCTTTGAATAATTACTATTGCTAAATTTTACTACTTGTAGCTTTTCTGCGTCCAAAATGGGCCATGAATTTCTGATAATTTCCCTTACTAATATAAACATTAACAATGAGGCACTCTGAGTCACTGTCATCCGTGTGCGTTGAAACCACTGTTGATTCCTTATAAAGCCAGCTGAAAGTATCAAATGAACAAGTGTTATATATTTACGTTTACTGTAGAACTTCTTAATGTACAATTTGAACTTCAGTGATTGGTAAAATTCAAACACACGTAGTCTTCACAATAGGCCACAAAGTTTAAGAAAAATCAATTTATACTTCCATGAGTAAGTGTCAAATGGACACATTTTATTTAATTCTATGCTGAAAAGCTTGTAACTTTTGTTTAAGAAAGCTTTAACGTTTGTACATATGGTATCTATTATCTTTGGTGAATTTTTTTTTAATTTTGTAACCACATCTAACTTTTTGCATTTAGAATATGCATATTCAAAATGGAAATTTAATGCTCACCCTAGATGTTCACCTGTCAAAGGTATCTTTAACGTTTTTTGCAGGAAGTCAATATTTTGAAGCAGACGTGTTTGAACTTCCTGTCTGAGCTGTTCCATCCCCTCCCCTGTAACTGCTGATATATTGAACACATTTGGATCAGCCTGATTTTTCATGATACTCTCCCTCTCGGACCTGTCAACAATATAAATTTCATGATTAAAATTGTATGATTAAGGCTCTTATACTAGTAAACAGGTAAAACTTTTTTTTTTGTTAAGTGGTACTACATTCTACCTTCCTTTTTAACCAATTTTTTTATGGTCAATGTTCATTTGTACTTGAACTAGAACTATCACTAAATGTGATTAATACCCCCGCAAGACTGCTTCGGAAATGAGGAAGTTACTAGTAACAGAATACCTTGTAAAAGAATTGAAATGGAGTTATGGTTGTGGGCAATTAAAGATAGTTGTGGTTCTTGTATGTTGCATTTCCTTTCAATGTGGTTGACCATTGATGAAGTTTTATTGGATTACTCTGTAATAAATCCAGAAAGAGTTAAGTTTCTTGAGCAATGCACTTCCTCTCATTGTGCTTCACCATTGAATGAAGTTGCATTGAATTCTAAACAATAGTTTTTAAGTTATGCACCGGACAGGGAAATGGAACAAAGGGCAATAACTCTACAAATACTGAAGATGGAGTTATGGTTATTGTACACTGCACTTCCTCTCATTGCGCTTGACCATTGTTTAAAGTTGTATAGAACTCCAACAACAAGTTTTCAAGTTATGCACTGGACAAAAATGTAACAAAGGGCAACAAGAGCCTTGTCAACATGGCCATCCCCCGCCGAATGTGTTTGCTCATTGGAAGAATGTATATGTAGTAGAACAGAATAATTCCATTTTAAGAGGTCTTTTAGTAATGAAAACTGATAGCTATAGTGATTACAGATTTGAAACCTATGTGAATACTGATGGCTGAAAATAACAAAGGGCAATAACTGAAAAATAATGCAGGGTAGGTTATCATTCTTGTGTGCTGCATCCCTCCTCAGTAAAATCTATCCACCTATGAAGTTTCAAGTTGATACCTCAAATACTTTTTGAGAAAAAAATTGAATAGAAAAATTAAGTATGAAAAATAACAAAGGCCAATAACTCAAAAAATTATAAAAGGTAAAGTTATCATTCTTGTGCACTGCACACCTCCTGAGTTAGATCTATGCACCTATGAAGTTTCATAATGATATCTCAAAGGCCTTTTGAGTTATGCTCTGGACAAAAATTAATTTTGAAAAATAACAAAGGGCAATAACTCAAAAATTATGCAGGGTAGAGTTATCATTCTTGTGCACTGCACTCCTCCTCAATGAGATCCATCCACCTATGAAGTTTCAAGTTGATACCTCAAATACTTTTTGAGATAAGCTCTGGACAAAATAGCATGAAAAAGAACAAAGGGCAATAACTCAAAAATTGTATAGGGAAGAGTTATCATTCATGTGCACAGCATTCCTCCTCAATAAGATCTATCCACCTATGACATATCATGTTGATGTGTCAAACACTTTTTGAGTTATGCTCCACTTAGGTGAAAAATTAAGTATGAAAAATAACAAAGGGCAATAACTCAAAAATTATGAAAGGTAGAGTTACCATTCTTGTGCACTGCACACCTCCTGAGTGAGATCTATGCACCTTTGAAGTTTCATGTTGATATCTCATAGGCTTTTGGAGTTATGCTCTGGACAAAAATCAATTTTGAAAAATAACAAAGGGCAATAACTAAAAAATTATGCAGGGTAGAGTTATCATTCTTGTGCACTGCACTCCTCCTCAATGAGGTCTATCCACCTATGAAGTTTCAAGTTGATTACTCAAATACTTTTAGAGATATGCTCCGGACAAAAATGTCGGACGGAAGGACGGACGGACGAAAGGTCGGACGGACGGAGACTATTTCTATATCCCCCGCCGCCTTTTCGGCGGGGGATATATAACTATAATAAGTCCAAATAGAGTTATGGTTCTTTTGCACTGCACTTCATCTCACTGCCCCTGACTATTGTATGAAGTTTCATTAAATTCAAACCATTTATTTTCAAAATATGCACTGGACAATAAAAAGTAACAAAGGGCAAAAACTTTTAAATGAGTCAAGAAAGAGAAATGGTTTCTGTGCACTGCGCTTCCTCTCAATATACTTGACCATTGTATGAAATAGTATTGAATTCCAACTAGTAGTTTTCAAGTTATGCTCTGGACAAGAAAAAAGCAATGGAAAAGTAACAAAGGGCAATAACTCTATAATTACTCTGGACAGAGTTATGGCTCTTGTGCACTGCACTTCCTCTTAATGTGCTTGACTTTTTTGTGAAGTTGTTTTGAATTTCAACCAGTTCTTTTCAAGTTATGCTCAGGACAAGGAAAAGGGTCAAAGGGCAATATTTCTGTAATTTGTAAAATGGAGTTATGGTTATTGTGCACTGCATTTCTTCACAATGTGCTTGACCATTGTATGAAGTTTTATTGAATTCCAACCATTAGCCTTCAAGTTGGCAATGGTCCAGGCAAAAGAAAGCAATGGAAAAGAAACAAAGGGCAATAACTCTGTAATTACTTTAGATAGAGTTATGGTTCTTGTGCACTGCACTTCCCCTTATTGTGCTTGACCTTGTATGAAGTTGTTTTGAATTCCAACCAGTAGTTTTCAAGTTATGCTCCGGACAAGGAAAGTAACAAAGGGCAATAACTCTGTATTTAATAAAGATAGTAATGGTTCTTGTGCTCAATGTTCTTGACCAATTGTATGAAGTTGTATTGAATTCAAACCATTAGTCTTCAAGTCTTCAAAGAAAATGCAACGGACCACTGGACCGACAGACCACCAAGTGTCATGTATAAATTTTAACTTTTATCATGCTTTGTCTTAAGAGACCGTTTCATTCAGCGACCATTTTTGGTGTTTCCCTCGCGCAGTCGCTTTGACTGTTTACAAGTTTGACAGTACATCTTTGCTGCAAATATTTAATTACATCTTTGCTGTAAATATTTGTGTACATCTTTGCTGTAAATATCTAAGTACATCTTTGCTGTAAATATTTGTGTACATCCTTTTAAATACAAAATCAGACATTGCTACCTTATTAAACAACAATACATGTATATACTTACTGTTCAAGCCTGTCCACTTTATTGTATACCTCGATCATTGTGTCTAGTTTATATTTAGGTACAAGTTTCTGTATTGACTGTCTTACATTGAGCTCTTGTGCCACCATGTCTGGATGACTCGCATCTCTTACATGTATAATCAAATCCTACATATGAAAATATAATTAAAAGAATTACTTTTTACTGATAATGTTAAACAGATGGCAAGATATTGTCACAAAAAACATTTTTTCCCCCGTATTACAAAAGAACAAAGGGCAATTTTTCTACCAACAATGACCAAATTACAAATCTATGAGGATGTGTGCCATGGCACTCAGTGACAAATATTCACTGAACATTTGGTTGAAATTCTTTAAATAACGTAGGAGTTGTTAACAAATAATGAAAATGTTTAATCAATGTCATCCTCTTGTCATGCCACCTGTCAATACATCAATCTAACAAACAGTTTTTTCCTTCAGAAAACTTGCTTGAATAGCAATGTTACGATGCAACATTTTAAAAAGCTCACTTGGAGACACAACTTCTAAAATTTTGTCTTCCACACAATACATGCTAAATATGTATCATGGAATACCTAAAAATCTGCGCTTATTGTTATTTTTGGCAAAACATTTACGGCCCGTTTTCAAAGATGCCTTATTTTCAAGACTTGCATAATTTCCAGTTATTTTTGAAAAAAAGAGTCCCACCAGCTTTCTTTTAAACAGTGAAAATAAATAGATAAATAAATCAATAAATCAATAATCTGATATTTCATTCCAAATCGAGGCAATTTTGCATTAGAAGTGGAAGGTAAAAACGTTTTATGCAGGCAAAGTGGGACGTGTATATCCATCTTGTAGGCAGTGTGAGAGTTATAAAACTTTGTAACATACAGAATGCAAAGTGTCCTCCAGGGTTGCTGTGAATGCTCCTTGAAGATTGGGAGGAAGGTAAGTCAGAAATCCAACAGTATCCATATATACAACCATCATGTTGTTAGGTAGCAAGCCACCATGGGCAGTAACATCTAGAGTGGCAAATAATTTATTCCTAGGTATCATGTCTTCATCTCCAGTCAGTGCTTTAATTAATGTAGTTTTACCTGTAAACAATACACAAAAATAAAGCAAATATAAGTATCATGACTAAACTATCTATGGTACTTTCTGGAAAAAAAATATGAGAATACTTAAAGAAGAACTACATGTAATAAAATCATCAAAAATATGTACAAGTATTCATTTGACTACATGTATGTGTGGCAGGAGAAAATGTAAAGAAGGAATGTATATCAAATGCGATTTAATATGTGACAGTTAGACTTGACAGGGCTGGAAATATTTTTTTTGAGATTAATGCTCCACTTGATGTAGAACTAAACTAAAAACTACTGTGCTATCAGATGATTCGCTCACTCTGTTTCTCCAGAATAATCATTCTTATTGTGAAAACTGACCCAACATTACAAAAAAATGGTGTAATTGTGTAAATCTTACAAATAAATCATGCAAAGAAGAGCACAAAAATACTATTTTCAATTTCTTTTGAGGTTTATTTCTTGATTTTTTTTATATATTTTTTTCTGTTCTAAGTGCCCCAGCTGATCTATGTTTCATACCAACTGCAGGATAATTCTTGACAATATAACTCAAATCTGCCTAAAATAAGCTCCTTTCTGATAGACAAATATGATTGGTTTCAATCAAATATAAGCTCCACCTACCACAGTTAGTGTAGCCAATCACAGCAATCGTTGGTATTTGTCTACTGTTACGTCTATTACGTGTCATAACATGCTGTTTCTCTAATATCTTCAGTGCTGCCTGTAACTTTCTTTCCCTTTCCTGTAACAATATTAATAAACATGTAGAAAATGGCCATTTTTCTGCGAAAAACATGAAAAAAGAACAACAAAAACATTTATTCTTCAATAAAAAAAAATCCATAAAATTAAATGCTCGAAAAAGCCTTTTTTCTGGGTTTCCACAACTAAATTACTGAAAAAGCCTTGATTCTATCAAAAATGAAAAAGAATGATTGAAAAATACATGTATGTCTTTATTCTGGTAAAAATAAGCACAAGAACATTAAATACTGTTTAAAATCTAAATTTTAGTCCTCAATAATCCAAGAGAATATTGTCTAACAAAGTTTGTTCAGTGAAAATAGTACAAAAGACAAGGGGTAACCCTGGATATTCTGTTAACAACAAAATAGTCCTAGAAAACGTAATTTTATGATGCAACCTTATATTCAAACTCCTGAAAAAAACAAAACAAATGTTATACACTGTTAGAATTACTTTATATATTCTAGGAAAAGCTGATTCAGAAACTGTGTTAACAAGATAAATTATCATTAAATGAATTGTGCATAAAAGAAACGAACCGCAAATGGATATCTGACGAACCTCTTCACAGGTCGGCCATATTCCCCTGGTTCAAATCCATGTGTCATACAATACCTGTTGGAGCAGATTAATACACACAAATTGTCAGTGAAATAATACATTTGTAATCATGTTAACATTAAGATGTTCTAGATTGATTTTTTTCTTAATAAAATAAAAACAAAGATACCTTTTTTTTTAGATTTATGTCGAACAAACAAAGTATAGGTCATATTTTGACTTTCCAGCTTTACTGGTGAAGGCATGTCCTTCTGAGCATTATTTCATGCATAAGCTTGTACCCCGCTAGAACCACCTATGTTCCTTAAGCTAGCTGGATAGCTTCCTTGAATGAAAGAATCCAAAGTCCATGGTGGGATAGGATCCCACAATAGTGAAGGACAAGTGGTTTGAAGTCAATGACCTTAACCACTCAGCCACAAACATCCTTCTGAAGATATCTAATTAAACTTGAAAAAGAATAATAATCACCAGACTTGAGAAATATTTAATAATACTCTGCAACTTAATCATTAAGAAGAATATAATGTTGTTTACCTGAGAAAAGGTAATTCTGCCAGTGCCAAATGTAATCTGGCTTCCTTTGTCTGGGCTTGGAATTTAAACACCTGAATTAAAATGAAAGACCTGAAAAAAAGGTATAATATTAAATCTTTCATTCTAACAAGAATTTTTTTTTACTTTCTCTTTTGGATTCTGGTATTATTTCTTAGTTTGTTTCTTCAACAGATTTTAACACATTTTTGGTAATGTCTCCAGTGTTTAATCCCCCTACTGTTTTACTGGATAACTAACCAGTCATTACAAATTTCTCTGCAAGTGAGTGACTACTATGAACAAAACAATTGAAATCATCAAAAATTATTCTTCTGAAACAAATATTTTTGCAGCAAATGTGCTTAACAAGAGCTGTCAGCAGGACAGCACACTGGACTATTCTAAGTGCTTGATACTAAAAGAGCCTTGATAATGTAAAATTTTCTAAGTTAACAAAAGGGCCATTTTTTTTCAAATCATGATGTTACAGTTTAAGGCCTTGGAGAGAGTTCTATTATGCTCTCAAAGAAGTGTATAAAAATTCAACTTGTTTCAAAGCAAGATGTCAATGAAATACCTAATCTAATCTAATGAGACAAAACTTAAGTGGCTACTCCATTGTTTCCCCTTTGTTCTTTTAGAAGAAAGAACTTTAAAGACATCAGCCATAAAAAACTTACATAATGAATGACATGATATTAGTATTTAAAAAGGGAGGTAGACTTTCTAATAAAGAGAAATGGTATTATGATGGTAAACTATTGGAAACTGTTTCTAAATTTTCATATGTTGGTGTAACAATGTCAAGACAGATGTCAATATTTAAAATGGCTGATGAACAAGCCATTAAAGGAAAAAGAGTTCTTATTTCTATTTTATCAAACCTTTACAAATATGGTCAGCTTAAAAAAAACATGTATATTTTTATATATTTCATACTAAAATAGTTCCAATATTATGCTATGGATCTGAATTGTGGGGGTCAATTGAACATAAAAGTATAGAAACCGTACATAATTATGCATGTAAAAGATACATGTGTGTTAAACAATCAACTGCAAATGCATCAGTTTTAGGAGATTGTGGCCGTTATCCATTGTACATAACTACTGCATCAAGAGTTTTAGTATATTGGTTAAAGATATTAAGTTTAACCAAATGATCGATATGTCAAACAATGTTATAATATGTTTACTTATATATGATAGGAATGGAATGAAAAATTGGGCTACTAACATTAAACAACTACTTTATACAAATGGTTTTGGATATGTTGGAATAATCAGGGAGTTGATAATAAGAAATTGTTCCTAAAAATATTTACAGATAGAATGAGAGATCAATATAGGCAGAACTGGCAAGAAAAAATAAATCAAAGTAAAAAGTTAGATTCATATCGTTTGTATAAATCTGAATTTATCCATGAGACATATTTATCTGTTGTTTTAATTCGTAAATTTTAGAAATGCACTTGCAAAATTACGTACTTCATCACATGATTTAAATATTGAAAGAGGTAGATATAGACAAGAAGAGAGATCTGAGCGTATATGTAATTTATGTAAAGTTTCAGTAGAAACAGAATATCATTTTGTAATGGTATGTACGGCTTATGAAAATTTTTAAGATCAAAATACTTACCAAGCAAATATTTTGTTAATCCTAATATTCATAAATTTAATATCTTAATGAGTTGTCAGGCTGAAAATATTATAGAAAATTTGGCAAAGTTTGTGTTCCATGCCTTTGAAGAAAGAAAAAGATTATTATGTGTTAGAACATGAATAAATATGATAAACACCACTAGATAGTAAAAAGATTTTGTTTAACATAATGATATAATGTACTATATTCCATTGTATGAAATTGTATTGCTATGTTTATGTTGTTTTGGGCTAGAGGCCTTGAATCAATAAACTATTTGTCATTTGTCAATTGTCATTTGTCATTGTCATTTGTCATTTGAATGACATGAAAAAATACAGTCACATATTGCTCCTGCAGCCACATAAGTACTTCACTGTAAGTGTGTACAGACAGACAGACGGACATTCCATAACACATCCCGAAGTTTCTTTGGGTGTATAAAAATGTTACATGATATGCATATTGTAAACCTCAAACAAATGTACATTAACCATAAATCAATTTTTTTCTTATTTTGTAACTTACCTGTCAAATACTGGCCTCTTATAAAGTCTATGCGCCAATACACGTAATTGAGGGGACAATTTATTTCTAGATATAAATACAGCGCTGACATTTGGTGTTGTTCTGATTTTATCAGCTACTGATTGAAGTGCATTTGTCATCAGACGGACACTTTGCTCTTCTTTAACTCTAACAATTTCCTGTAATACAGAACTCAATTTTTATGGATAATCTAATAGTAAGTTAATAACTTATAGACATACATGTACAATATACTGTAACTACTAATTTTATTTGATCAGTTTTACTAAGTATGTTAACTTGAAATCTTAATATAATTACGAATAACAGGAAATATGATCAAATAACTTTCGAGGATGATTAGCTTTCAGAATTTATGAAAAAACTCCATTATGGTGAAATATGGACATAGCTCAGCTCTGTGCTGAGTCATCGACAAGTATATAATGCCAATACTTTTTTACATACAAGTAACATGTAACTATAACTACTACAGCATGAACCTTTCTTCAAAAAAGTACTATATTACAATGCACTTTTAAAAGTTAAAACTTTTGGGAAAAGGCAGAGTGAACCGAATCCAGTTTTCTCTGCATATATCTAAGTACCTGCTTTCTATGGACAGTGAAAAGTTGCATGGTTTTGGTGAACAGCAGTAAAAGATAAACCAATCAGGCAAAATCACACATGCAACCATAAAGACAGTGCAAATTTTCTGAAAATTACTTTTACTTACAGAATGAACGACGGACCAGCGAGGTATGGAATGTACAAGAGCTTCGTTTTCAGCAAGTTGAAGGTGAGTAGGGGAGGCAATAGCTCTCTTCTGAGTACCCCTCAGTTCTGAAAGTATATACATGTGTATATATGTATAAGAATTTGAAAGTCTCTGCTTTGAACAAAAAAGATTTCTTTAAATGTTTTTATTTTTGAATCAATTACAGATAAAGTTAGATATTGAAAAAAGTCTAAGCCCTTCCTTACTTATAAAACAGCAAAAGACCACTTTTCGAGACTTAGACTGAAACATTTTTGTTTGTGGTTTTGGTCATTGTTTTAATTGTACAACTGTATAGTCTTTAATTATTACATGATATCAAATGACACTTTTGTATTACACTTGTTAAATATAGAAAAATACAAAACAATTACATGTAATATAAATACATAGAAAACTACTTGTAGCAATATGTCCATTATGAAGATAAATACTTGGGAAAAAATCGCACTTAACAAGTAAATTAACACATGAATCTTAAAGCTTTTTACTTTCCTTCTTAGTACAATTTTCTCAACTTTGATTTTCTTAAAATATTTTGGCTCATATGGAGTCATGCATCTTTAATGTTTATATCATACTAACATTTTAAAGCTCATTTTAAAAAATCTTACCAATTTGTATAATAAAGACTTTATGTCCAGCTTCCGGAAGATTACAAAATTCTTGAAAGCACCTGTTGTATTCACTATCTTCTAGTAGAAAGTCCGCTAAAATAAATCATAAGATTTCATCTATTTATATACATGTATTTTATCATTTTCATCATCATTAATGTCACCATTATCATCATTATTGTCATCATCACCATCACCAACATTATCAAATTGATCCTCATTATCATTATGGTCATCATCATCAGCATCACCAAAATTGTCATCATCATCACAAACATTATCAAACTGATCATCATTATTCTTATGGTCATAATCATCAACACAACCATTATCATCATTATAATCATCATCACCAACATCAGCAAAATCATTATCATTATGGTCTTTATCATCAGCACCATCATTGTTAACATTTCTTGCCTAAGGGCATGATTTAGATTACAATAGGTTTATTTGGATCGAAAGTTCTTCTAAAAAAAATAAAATGAGCATCACTTGGTAGGAAAAAACAATGGGCAAATCCTTATTGACATAAACCAATAACTACGAATAAATTTTAAATAATTTTTAAATTATTTTAACCAATATGTACATTTCATTGCCAAATAACTGTTAACAAATTTTAGATAACATGCTGACGGATGACAAAGACCTCATATTAATCCTAAAGAAAAAAAAAAAGAGATGTATATGCACATTTTTACTTAACCAATCCACATACTTTTCTGAAATAATGAAAATGACAAATAATTCAATAAATTTAAATATTTTTATTTATTACTAAATTGATGTTTTACTTATGTGATAAGGTTTTGTAACATGTTTATGTTGTACTTAATAATGTATTAGTTTATACAAATTTATTTCACTTTGTGTACAATGTATTTGTCTCATTATGTCAAAAAATATGTCTTGATTGTTGTACAATGTTTGCATCATCTTTCATTTAGTTTAGGTAATAATTCATTTATTATTATATAATTTAGTGTGATAATATTACAGTAAATGGACCTCATTTAGCTTAATGGGCAATCCAAAGGTAACATATTATTAACTAATAAAGGAAAAGAAAATCTATTTACCATTGATGTTTTCATCCTCATTTTCTTCTGTTTCAGATGAGCCCTTCTCAATTACATTATCAGAAGTGTCACTTGCCTCAATTTTGGATGAGTCCTCTTCAAATACCCCATCAGTGATATCACCGGAATACCCTTCTCTTCTGTAAAATCTTACATGATCTTTGAATACATTTTTCCTTCCCATCAAATCATCATAATGAAATAGCACCACTTTCCTAGATATATCTTTTAAAACGTTACTTTTTCTTTTCAAACATCTTTTACCAGTATCAATTTGTTCATTTAGTCTTTCTAAACATTGTAAACTAGTACAGACTTTGTCTTGAGCAATAGAATGAAAGTCTTTATCCTGATAAATTCCAAAAGGTGCCAAAAGTCTCAAAATTGTCTGGCAAGGAGATTGCCAGCTATTTACTACATGTTTATGACTAATCAATTTATTACGAAAACTCTGCTTAAGACAAAATAATTTGTTCATATCTACCTAAAATTGTACTTTAAAAAAAATATATTTGTAAAAATAAAGTTAATAAACAATAGGTGGTTTTGAGGGTTGTGCTTTCGGTTTTGGGTCGTAACCGATCCTCTCATGTATAATTTCTGTTCTGGTCTTTCCAGTGACTGGAGTATCACTGGTGGTTGCTATGTCAGTTTTAATTTTTTGCAGCTTTCCTTTTTCCCTTTTTTATAAAGCTGTTTCTTTTTTTATGTCGATTAAACTTTTTGCTCATGCGTGTGGGGTTCCTACAAGCATTTTAATGTTTTCAAAAAGACTTTACTTTCTTCGGGAAATTAAACAAAAATAAGGAGTGATTAAGTTTTTGACTTTTAATTCAAAAATCCGGGGAATAAAAATTTTTTGACTTTTTTTAAAATTTTAAATTTATTTATTTCTATAATACAGTTAGTAAAACGGAGCACAGAAACAAGACTTTTATTTGTTTATGGGGATGTGCTGCTCAAAATGGGGTTTTGATATATTGTCAAATTTAAACTACGAAAAAATTAAAATACTGTAATAAATTAAAGGTTTCGCAACCCCATTTAATATATGACATTGTAAAACAAAAATGCTAAAAAGCAGCTTATCAAGTTTTGGAAGCCAGAACTAATAATGTAACACACATAAAGGGCGCAGTCTAAAACGCGGACGCCTTAAGCGGACAATATAAACATATAGGGAAAACGCTGACAATATAGACAAAGAGGAAAAAAGCGGACGATATAGATATTATAGTGTAAAATGACTGAGCATAGTAAATTCATATTAAAAAGGCTAATAATTGGCTTTTATATAAAGTAATATCTGAACATGTATTAATTATAATAATTAAAAAAGAACTTTATTTTATTTATTTGTTAAATTCTTATAATAATTAAAAAGACTTAGTTTATTTATTTTTCAAGTTTCTTTAAATTTATGTTTTTTTATTTGTTCATCGTTAATTGATTAATACTTTTTAATTTTAAACAGTACAAAACATGCAACAGTCACATGCGGAAAACTGAATAAAGGGCACAAGAATTAGTTTTGAATATATTTGAACAGTTTGCATACGCAATTCGCGGACATGATAAACATATAGGGAAAACGCTGACAATATAGGACATAGAGGAAAAAAAAGCGGACGATATAGATATATAGTGTAGATTGACATTCTTTCAACCATATACAATTTACTATGATTTGAAATTTTACTTCTTGTTTCTATATTGCACATTAAATTTCATATTAGCCGAATCTTCTTTTGTGTACATATATAATATGAAATAGTGGGCGAATGAGTAATTTTTTTGAAAATTATCGTTTACCGGTGAAATACACGTGTTGCAAAATTAACTTAAAAGCATACATTAAGTGTGAAATTAAATTTATTAAAATTTGTCGCTCTTTAGAATATTGAGCAATTAAGACATAAATTTTCAAAGAACAATTTTGGGACCAATCATGAAATTAAAATTTCAGTCGTTATGTTTTGATCTTTTTGTTATTTTTTTCACCAACTTTGCAATTGCAACTTATTTAATGGTAAAAAACTGTTAATGGTAAGGTATATATACAGTCAATTTTTGTGCACATCCCTCATTTCCAAAAGAAAAAAAGTTACATGCTTTGAATTCATTCCATTGCTTACAAAGTGTTTAATTTGAATTGGATTATTAAATTATTGTGTTCTTTAACTTTTAAAGTGTAATTGTGTAAAATATTGTATAAAGTGTTTTCACTAAGGCATTGTTAAAATGGCATTCGTTGTAGGACACAGTCAAGTAAAATATATGAGTGATTATTTGTGTCAACATTCGTACAGTGTGTTTTCCTATCCTGGATATAAAACACGCCAGTTTTGTTTCGAAGAGGACATTTTTTGAAGTTGCTCCATATTTTTCGGTAAGTTCATATCAATGATATCCCCCTTTGTAATCTTTTATCAACCTGAATAATATATGAACAATCATGTTATGTTTCTACCAGACAATAAAACAGTAAGAAATGTATAAATTATATATTTATGTATATACTGATTCCATTTTTTTTAATTTAAATAAAGTGTCCACGTGTCACTTGTATAATCCTGCACGTGGTTAATTTAATCATACACATGATTCTTTATACCATATTTCATCAAGTCGAAATAGAAAACGCGGACAATATAGACATATAGTGAAAAAAGCGGACGATATAGATATAGAGGGAAAACGCTGACGAAATAAATGTATAGAACGGGAGAATAGAAAACTGTTATGAATAAAAAAAATATCTGACTTCTACAATGTATATAATTAATTTATATCAATTAAACTTTCTTTAATTCATAATATTTTTATGTTTTATTTATATTTTATCCATTAAGTTAATAAAAGAAACTTTCTGATATAAATACCAATCAACTAATTAAAAGTATCCACGTGTCACCTGTGTATTTGACTTAATCACGCACCGACACTTGTATATTTCAATTAATCATTCATCTCACCCTTGTACAATTAATAAAGTGGCTACAGAAAATGCGGACAATATAGACATATAGTGAAAAAGCGGACGATATAGATATAGAAGGAAAACGCTGACGAAATAAATGTATAGAACGGGAGAATAGAAAACTGTTTATGAATAAAAAAACATCTGACTTCTACAATGTATATAAATTAATTCATATCAATTAACTTTCTTTAATTCATAATATTTTTTATGTTTTATTTATATTTTATCCATTAAGTTAATAAAAAGAAACATTTTGATATAATACCAATCAACTAATTAAAGTATCCACGTGTCACCTGTGTATTTGACTTAATCACGCACCGACACTTGTATATTTCAATTAATCATACATCTCACCCTTGTACAATTAATAAAGTGGCTTACAGAAAAATGCGGACAATATAGACATATAGTGAAAAAAGCGGACGATATAGATATAGAAGGAAAACGCTGACGAAATAAATGTATAGAACGGGAGAATAGAAAACTGTTATGAATAAAAAAAACATCTGGCTTCTACAATGTATATAATTAATTTATATCAATTCTATTTCAGTGTTTTGTAATGTTATTTAAATCGTTTACATTAAGTAATTAAAAAAACATTTTATTGCAGACTGTGGTCCTGGTTGTTGGAGCCAACGACATTGGGTATAGATCACCATTGTGTATTGCCAAAGATATAGAACAATTGTGTCGTAAAATTCATCAAAGCTCACCAAGGTATATATTTCAGATGTTAAACTGATAAATTTGTTTAAAATTTTTAAAACTGGGAAAAATTGTAAAACAATATTTGGGAAAATGTAAAAAAGGGTAGAAGATTAAACTAAAAAGAAAGAAATTGAATTCTTTTTTTTCCCTTTCAAATTTTTTTATTAAAAAACCCCAAATACTGCTTCTGTTTTTGGGTCTTGTAAATATAATTTAATATCAGCAAATGGCAGAAAAATTGAAAATTAAGTCTTTAAAATCATTAATCCCCCACATTCCCTGTAAATAATAAAAGATTTTTAAAATTTTTTTTCACAAGTTTTTTTAATCACTTAATCTTTAAACTTCCCCGTTTAAATTTTCAAAACTAAAAATTTTTAAATAAATTTTGTAATTTTTTATGAATTCAGTCTACTGTCCGGGTTTCCCGAGGTTTTTCCCACGTGCCCAAAATTTTGTTTAAAGCCACCCCACTCGGCACAAAATTCCTACAGGAATGGAACTACGACGCTGGCTCGGTAAACCACTTCCTGAAGGAAATGTCTAAGAGAGTACCATGGGTTGATATAATTGAACAACCATATTTCCACACCATGTTCGGTTAGTAAACATTTAAATTCATTTCAATAACATACAAAAATTGTAATTTTTGGGCCTCACGGAAAATGACATAATTGACTTAAAAAATAATAAGAAACTTAATTCAAACCATATGGAGGCTGTAAATATAATGTTGCGACAACAAACTATGGGCGAAATAGGTGGGTTGCAGCTAACCGAGAAAGTGCCCGCTTTTAATGAACTAGAAAAAAGATGATGTTGTAAATTTCCACTCGAACCTGCACAGTCACCGGCCTGCCAAATACACCACAATCACCATGACCACTGGGTAGCACTGGGTAGCATCGTTTAATATAGATAATCAAATTCATTTAATGGACAGTTTAGGCAATGATAGAACAAATGACAGAATCATACCAAACGGCTTGAAAATTCAATTATCCCAGCTTTATGGATCAAATAAATCATCAATAGCAGTTAATGTACCAAATGTTATCAAACAAAATAATAGTGTAGATTGTGGATTATATGCAATTGCTTTTATTACTTCTTTTTGTTTACGTAAACGTCTTTGTACAGATATGCAATTGCTTTTATTACTTCTTTTTGTTTACGTAAACGTCTTTGTACAGATCTTATATACGATTCCAATAAAATCCGTGAACATTTGTTAAATTGTTTTGAACGAAAAGAAATGACGGAATTTCCATTAACTAAGAAAACTTTAAGTAAAAGGAAACACTATAGTGATACAATTATTAATATTTATAATTATTGTCTATGTAATTTACCTGAATGCCTTGATGATATGGTTTTATGTGATAAATGTAATAAATGGTTCCATAAAAATTGTATTAATGCCCCCATTGATGTGTCGTCCATTGATAATGACTTTGATTGTGGTTTATGTTCTTAAAGGACAAACGAACTTTTTTATAATATACTTTACATTTAATAAAATTCACTTTAAGATCAATGTTATTTGCAGTCTGAAAACATACAATTTTTGATTATATAATTTTTAATTAAAACAAATATTAATTTAATTATAGTTATAATTTTAAAACAATACTTATTATAAATTAAATGTAATATATTTTTGGACAGCATTTTTTCCGCTTTGTATATATTGCCATCGTTTTTCCTATAAACGTTTAATACATTGTCTATTTAATATTGTTGTCTTAAGTAAGGGATTTTGTTAAAATATGTGATTGTTATATTCTTTATAGCTATATACATATATTGAGTTGTTACATTGATATTATTATTTGTATGTGTAAAATAAATTCATGTACCGAATGTGTTATATTGCTTAAATAAAATTGCAATGATGTTCATTCTTTATGTTCGTTTTATTACTTCACAATATTACTATACATTATCATTATCTATTTTATTATAATTTTTATCTCACACATCATTCTACACTCTATCTATAGCGCCCGCTTTTTTCCTCTATATCTATATCGTCCGCTTTTTCTCTATTTATTTATATTGTCCGCAAAAAATAGGGCAAAGAGCGGACATGTTCAATCAGGTAGCATGTTGTTGACACTTAATTGTCGTTAATTTGCAACACGTGTCCGTCACAAGAGTATACGTCTACTCTAAATTTCTATACCGGCCGCTTTTTTTCCTCTATATCTATATCGTCAGCGTTTTCCCTATATATCTATATTGTCCGCAAAATGCGTATATCATGTTATCTCTAGCTAAGATGCCGACACGATTAATCAGTAGCGTGTTGTTCACACTTATATAATTACCGTTAATCTGCGGCACGCTTCTGCTCATATTGTATCAATAAAAAACAACAGCCCGTCATTACTTATTTATATCAATAATTTATGATTAAAAATTACTCTTACTAACTTTTGATTTTTGAAAAATCAAGGCTTTTTTTATTTTGCGAACAAAAATTTTGTCCGCCTACTGCACATAAAGGCATACAAAGAATGCCCAAAATGAAATACATATCCTTAAATTACATATCAGCTGTTGCCAATTTAGTACCTTCATTGTAATTCTAAGGACATTCATTTGATCCATTTGTTTCATATATTAGTTTTCAATATTAAGAAATTCCGAAAATGTGTCATATAATTATGAAATAAAATTCATTGACATTCAATCATAAATTACTTTAATATTTCTCCCAATTTGCTAATTTGTTATATTTTTTTATATATTAAGTATAAATCCAATTACACGTCATTTTACTAAACTTCATCAATGCCCAAAATCATCACCAATTAGTCTACACTATATATCTATATCGTCCGCTTTTTTCCTCTTTGTCTATATTGTCAGCGTTTTCCCTATATGTTTATATTGTCCGCTTAAGGCGTCCGCGTTTTAGACAGGCCCCACATAAAGTGTGTATTGCTCTACTGAATACCTCTCAGACACCGAATGGTAATACTGTATTATCATCTGGCAGAAATGTGATAAAATTCAGTCTTAACATTTTCTGTCGTTACTGTATAAAGACGGTAAAAATAAGCCTACTGTAGTTTGACAGAATTATGAGAATATAGGAAATGGGAATAAACAGCTAGATTTAGTTCAAACCATGAATTTATATTAGGCTAAATCAAAATAAAATGTTAATATCTATAAATAATATACCAAATACGTGCATAATGTACCTATTTTTTCTATAAAATTTTTTAAAAAATCATGTAGATTTAAAACATAAAGTAAAACTGATAAGAGGTCGAATCGGCAATGGGACGAATCGTTATCTATGATATCCCCATTTAATGTGCTGTTTCGTGTTGTAAATCATAATAGCCTGCAGATGTATACTTGGTTAGATTTTTAAGTAGATATTTTACACAATTATTAACCAAACGTAGCTCTTAGTTATATAAAAACGCTTTAATTTTTAACCATTTCTCCTCCTTGGTCTTGCGCTGATTTCCAGCAAGTTTGAGTAATCTCCCTTTGCCACCCGGTGTATACACTAACGAAGTAATTTATCAAATATTTCACGTGCAACACGATGATGCGAAAAGTCTACGCAGAGGTAATGGTTCATAAACAATTTTGTATTTGGTCGTTAGTTTGTAAAACTTATTACTTGTTTTTAATGTATAGAAATGATGTTGTTCGTAACCTTGTAAGTTGAGTAGTGTCCGGATAAGCAACACTTCCGGATGTTTTGGTATTTTACCAATTGTTATAGAGCTAGATCTGATTCTCAAAACATGTTTGAACAAAGAAGATCTATTGTCTGATTAAAGACAATCTGTTTTGGATTTATTGTTCTTATGTTATTATACAGAGATCAAGTTGAGTCTTTATCAATTCTATTAATAATGACTGAGTGAATGTGATAGGTGGAAGATTTTAAGAGAATTTTAGATTTAACGATTTAATGTTTGCTGTTGATTGATAGCTCAGAGCAGGGTTGTCATCAGCCAATTATTGCATGTGGCATTCTTTCAGACATTGAGAAATTATTGCATCATTCAATAATCTCTCCAACATCCCTTAATTAATTATAAAGAAATACTCAATATCAGCATTAAATTAAAATACTTTAATGTCTTTCCAAGCATGTTGCATACTTTCTCATCATACTTGTCAGTCAGTGTCAGTAGCATCAGAGGCTTAAAACCAATGAACTGGCATGATAGCGAAGTAACGATGTAACCATTGTCTTGGCATGAATAACCCTGCCTTGATTTTGCATCTATATCATGTACCTTTGATGTCATTTAGGACACAAGGAATTGGAAAAAAGAAAATATTTTATTTACTGTAGCTCATATTGCTAACATATTCTCCCAATCCCTATAAGCTGTCAATATTTCAGGCTGAACCAATTGCCAGGTAAATATTTTTGCAACATGCCTTCACAAATTCCTGGCTAGAACCCTGATGCATGTAACATGGAAAGATATTCTGTAAAATAATTAAACTGTTGTAGATCCTGATGTTAACTGAGTGAAAATTGTCATCATTGTTAGTTATATTTACTGAATTTCTCATGTTTTCTATGACAATTTCTAAATTATGGTACTGAATATTTCAGGAGCAGCCACGGAAACAGACAATTAATCTACGTGAAACTCCAGTAAGTAACTGTTATAAATGTTTATTTTTATTCTGCAGATTGAACATTTGTGATGTTTCTGTTATCAATATACATGTACATGTACACTGCTGCTGCTGCAATAAATGGAATTTTTAACCCCCTGTCAAGGAAATGGCATTGTCCATCTGAATTTGGTAGGAATGTTTATAGGAATAGAGAGCTGAGGATCACCAAGTTTCATAAAAATCTATTTAGGGTTTCTTTTGTTATGGCCTTTTATTACAAACATACTTAAAAAGCAAAGTTCCCATATTTAGCCATATACACGTGGTTGTTTACATTGAAATAAACATCAGCAAGAATCATCAATGTATTTGATGCTGAGAAAAGATGTTCATCAAATATTATCAAAATCTTAACATGTACATTTTAGTTGTATTTCTTTATTACTATAAAAAAGCCATTTCTTTTAGAAAAATTATCATTTTCCTGCCTTTTCCCAGTGTCACCACACATGACCACAGGTCAGATTACCAGACTCATTCCAAATGGCAAATATACAAAATGTACTTATTTTTTCCCAATCCTTTAAAAAAAATCCCAATCGAACTGAAATTCTCGATTTGAAAACTGATAAATTTGCTGGAGTTCATTTCAGTATGGTATCAGACAGATGTTTCAACACATTTCATTGTCAAATTTTAATTTATCCTTTTATGCTTTGAATGATATTTACATTTGTTTGAATAAACAATTTTGCACAATTTAAAATCTTTATGCCAAAAGAGCAATACTGCATGAAGGAGGTTTCAAATGGTAGATATATTTAGATATTTTGACTTTGACTATTGTCAAATTTCTTTAGGTGAGTGGAGCATAAGTTTTAAATCATATTACATTCAGCTTCACTCCAGTTTTGAAAGTGTACCTTTGAGTTAAGGCATTTATTTTACGACCATGTCATATTACAGGCTAAGGTAGAAAGAGTGATAATTGATGGAGTGGGACGTACAAAAGATGATATTGTTACTAAACAAGTGGAGCAAGTTTTTGAGGCTGAAAATTTTGAAGATGTAAGTACATGTATAATTATTTGATGTTCTAGATTTGTTCCATATTTGATGGAAGCTATAACCTTAAAGAAATACTTTTGAAACTGTGCATGGCACCGACCAGTCTTGAGCACTTAGTGTGAAATTTCTTGTTCTTATAGAAGGAAACAATTGCTTGCTCTTAACGGGATTTGAAACCATGCTGCCAGCAATTGTTAGGTTTATAGTCTGACACATTAACCACATGGCCATGCTGTAACTTTGTGTTTTAAGGATAAGCATAGAATGAAATAGAACAGATTAATTATAACATTACAGACAGAAGTGATCATACTTTATGATATCGGAAATATCTGATAAAATGAAACATTATACTGTGATATATGTTGACATAGATTCATTTACATTTGTACAGATGATTCAAAGATGTCAGGATGCCAAAAATAACATGAAGAAACTGGGAATCTTCAAGACTGTTAGGATTGAAATTGATACATATAAAGGCATGTATACTACATATAATATAATCATAACTGTCAGATAACTGATTATATCACACTTAACGGTGAGGAAAATAAAAGTTTCATGGATTATAATTTTGGAAAATCTGTGGCTGAGCAGTTAAGATTCATATCTCATAATCACTTTTACCTCTCCACTCTGTGTTCTAATCTTATTTGGAATATTGGTTTCACACTTGTGAGAAAGTTGTCCTGCTAATTTATTGAAGATGGGTTGTTCTACTTGGGTGCCTGTTTAATACTGCATTGGTACATGAAAGGGCACAGATGTTTCGATTGCATTCTTCAATCAATAAAGATGGAAAGTAACCATTTGCAGTGTTGTGTAACAAAATGAAATGATTGTAAATTGTGATTTGAAACAAATTTGCTATTTTTCATCAATAAATACAGATTATGAAAAAAAGAATTCAAAGAAATAGCTTAAGCAATAAAGTTTCAGTGGAGCAGGTTCACAGAATAAGTTTAAAATATATACAAATGTATACAATTTAAATCCTTGACCTGCAAACTGTGTGTAATAGATCTGCAAGGCTTTGTGTTTAGAACAGTTGATTGAATTTTAAGGGATTTCTTTAAAAAAAAATGAAAATTAAGCTGCCGATGAAATAGAGAATGGTAAAACTGCTTGGATGTACAGGCTGGGCTGGCTCTGTAGTGGTGCCACAGGCTTATCATTCAGTTCCATCAGAGTAGGTATAAATACTTTAAATTGTTTTCAGGTGCGAAAGCTAGTTCCCATGGTTACCAGGTCAAGTATCATGTTCAAGAAATGAGATTTATGACTGGTGGTGCACACACACAGATCGGCACCAATGATGGCAACCTGGTAAGCAGTTCTGTAAGATTTTAGTCTATTAATGCATCAGTCAGTTATAACCACATCCCTCCCACTCTCAGCTCAGTGTGGTGTATAACGAGGAATGGCTTTAAACCTTTTGTCACTGCCCTGTAAGTTAATTGAGCCGCGTCACGACAAAACCAACAGAATGGGTTTGCGATCAGCATGGATCCAGACCAGCCTGCGCCTCCGCACAGTCTGATCAGGATCCATGCTGTTCGCTTACAGACCCTATAACAAGTAAAGAAACTGATAGCGAACAGCATGGATCCTGATCAGACTGCGCGGAAGCGCAGGCTGGTCTGGATCCATGCTGGTCGCAAAACCATTATGTTGGTTTTGTCGTGACATGGCTCAATTGATGTCGTTATGCTTTGATGTCACAGTAATAGAGGAAGTTTCCAAATCATAGTGTGCGTGTATTTGGCAAGGTTTTGCTATATGAATGTCACCACAGGTTTGAGCCTTAAATTGTTCAGATGTCCAAACATCTTAAAATTAATCTTCTCTATTCACTATGGAGAGGATGGCCAGGATTATACTTGACTGATACATTACACTTATCTTAAGTATTGAATGTAAAAATATGTTACAATAATCTCTTACTCTTCATTATATAGAAGAATCATGATTATGTGGTCTGCCTTGCAATTAAATTGTTATTGATTTAAAACAAAGTAAATTGGTGATATTATTTAGAAAATGATGCATTTAATAGTGATTTTGAGACTTTTGAACTTTGTATTCAAAGATGTAAATAGTTTTATAGTTTTTGTAATTTTTAATAGACTTTTGAAAAAAGTTATGGAATTTACCACACCCTCATTTTATCAGACATGTTTGATTTGTTAACAACATATGACATGTCAGATTCTATATATATCAAGTGTTAAATTATAAAGAGGAGGAATGTTGTGATCTAGTATTTTACTTATTCCATATGGTACGAACAGTCTTCTATAAAAAGGAACAATATTGCAGTATTGATAAGATGATTATTTCAGTGAATGCAGGATGTTTTCCAGGATTTTGAGAACATGACCCCTACCAATGGAATTGGGAATTTCATCAATGATTTCTTAAAAATTGGGGAAAAATGCCTCACTTAAATTTTGCAGTGATAAAATGAATGCAAAGAGTAATTGTCTAGGATGGCATCTGTAAACATTTAAACACCATAACAGTGAAGAAGCCCTTATTTTCAAAGATTTTAGAATTTGTTATTCAATATTTTTATTTTGTAACTTCCGATCAGGAAGTTTTTCCAGTGGATTGGGAAAATAATATACTATTTTCAATTGGGAATATGACCAATTATCTGCTATAAAATAAGCCATTTAACTCAGACTTATGGCCCTTGATTAGTTATGTAGTATGCATATAGAGTAAAAATCGTTTCCGGAGTAGTTCTCTGCAACTACTGGCTGGAATTCAACGAAACTTTATGGGAATCATCAATATCAAGAGGAGATGCGCATATCGTCGGCTTGTTCCGGTCAGACACTTTAACTCAGAGTTATGGCCCTTGATTAGTTATGCAATATGCATTTGGAGTAAAAATCGTTTCCGGAGTAGTTCTCTGCAACTTCTGGCTGGAATTCAACGAAACTTTATGGGAATCTTCAATCATCAATATCAAGAGGAGATGCGCATATCGTCGGCTTGTTCCGGTCAGACCCTTTAACTCAGAGTTATGGCCCTTGATTAGTTATGTAGTATGCATATAGAGTAAAAATTGTTTCCGCACTACTTCTCTGCAACTACTGGCTGGAATTCAACAAAACTTTATGGGAACCTTCAATACCAAGATGAGATGCGCATATCGTCTGCTTGTTCCGGTCAGACACTTTAACTCAGAGTTATGGCCCTTGATTAGTTATGCAGTATCTATATAGAAAAATATTTGTTTCCCCGCTACTTCTCTGCTACTATGGCTGGAATTCAATGAAACTTTATGGGATACTAAGAGGAGATGTGCATATAGTCGCCTTGTTCCAGTCAGATACTTATAACTCAGATTTATGGCCCTTGATTAGTTATGAAGTATGCATACATCTCATTGGCATTTCCAGATTTTACTATTTAACACAAAGTTATGGCTCTGTTATTGCCCTGAATATTTATCAAGTTCAAAGAATATTACTGTTTTTGCCATGATTAATATATAAATAAAGCCTTATGTCTTCAGCTGTTGTGTTAATAATAACCAGTACTCGGCGGGGGATATAAATTCAACGAATTTGCTTGTTTATACAACTGCATTTATTTTCAGTTGTTTAATTTGAGAATCCCAAACTTGTTTGGCAGAGCTGAGAAGGTTATTGCAGAATACACATATGGTACGAAACATTCCCGAGGCCTTGGTCTTCATCTTACAAGACCTGTCAACGGGAATACAGAGGTCTTGTAAGTAAATGCTGATTAAAGGGCCTACATTCCATATTGATTCATCGTAATGACTTTATTTTGTTTGCATCATTAAATATAAGTTTGTTGTCATTATTTGGTATAAATATAAATTTGTTTAATTGTTTAATGTAATATATATGTCTGAAATGCCTGTCTGTTATTTGAAGTCCATATTTGGCTGAATTATTGAGGTTTATTAGTTGAAGCCTACATTTTGCTGAATCTTTGAAGTTTGTTAGTTGAAGTGCATATTTGACTGAATTATTCAGGTTTATTAGTTGAAGCCTATATTTGGATGAATTATTGATTATTGTTAGTTTAAGCCTACATTTGGCTGAATCTTTGAAGTTTGTTAGTTAAAGTCAATATTTGGCTGAATTATTGAGCTTTATTAGTTAAAGCCAATATTTTGCTGAAGTGGTGATGTTTACCAGTTGAAGCCCATATTTGGCTAAATTATTGGTGTTTCTTAGTTGAAGCTCATATTTTTCTGAGTTATTGATGCTTGTTATTTGAAGCCTATATTTGACAGAAGTTTTGATGTTTGAAACATTGAGGACCATCATGCCTGCTAGTATTTCACACAATATATTGTTTACAGATTTGGTGCAACAGGCTATCAAGGTCACAGTGAATATCCCTGGAGTGGTTACAAGGAAACTGATAGAGGAGTGGGAGTAGACCTTTCTGTATGTTCTTATTGGACAATCTCTTAATCTATATAAGATAATACATATCTTAGAATAAAAGCAACAAGGATGATGACAATGCTTTTTGGTCTATGTATGCAACCAATAGCTGATAGAAAGTGACCATATAAAGTTTACAGTGTCAGTGTTAAAACTTTAACCCTTAAACTGCCTAATTTCTGAAAAAGACTATTATCAATTTAGTGAAGATGAAAAATTTAAGTGTCTCAGCCAAAAGTATAGAACCTGGTGTGGCTCTATTACTACCAAGACTATAATAATTTTCAGTTCAAATAGGGTTTGATTTTATCTCGACAAATGACTCATGAAGTAGATTGCTGATACTTGATACTTAAGAGTCATTAGAAATAACCTTTGAAATGATTTTTGCTAAGATTTGTACTTCAGGATGAGACATTATTGTTGTTACCTTAGGAGATTTCACATTATGATTATACAGTCGAGACTGCCTTAGCGACCCCCTGGTTTAAACGACTCCCTGTCTTATCCGACCTTGTTTCAGTACTCCCAACGTATTTTCCTATATAAATGGTCTGAATTAAACGACTCCCTGTCATATGTGACAAGCGACCTTAATTGTCTGGTCCCAATGCAATGTTTTGTCTGATTTAAACGACTTTCACACCTTTTTATTATCCGTTAATCAGAAAAAGAATACCTATTTTAACACCCAGAGGGCCAAAATAATTAAGTCCAATTATAATCCAGCACTGTAGCAAACAAAGTCTACACACCTCTATCTCAATTACACAATTAGCGTGTATATACCGGTAGATACATGCAGGTACCAAGTGACGTAGCGTCTGTTCATGGAAAGCATGATGTAATCGATGTGTGTGTAATGTACAAAATGGCCTGAGTACTTGTGTTAGATTTTTTTTTAATTATAGAGTGCCCACGGAAGATTTTTTAGGCAGCATTTTTTTAGTTTACCTTTCTATGGCTGCATAATTAATACGGAAAAAATATTGATACCGAACCAGAAAAAGCTTTGGATATGGACAATTGTTTAAAGATCCTGTAACACAATTTTTTCATGGTTTTATTTCATAAATATGATGCTCAAATTAAGATTTGTCAATATTGTAAGTTCAAATAAGCATTATTTATAAAGATACCACCCAATTTAACATTTCATGTAAATAAAGGCCATTAAAGGGAGGTAATTAGAACTTTATTTTCTATAAATTCTAAGTCAAATTTTCCAATAAGAAATCAATGCATGTAATTTATTCATTAAATATAATGTGAACAAATATTTGCAGTACACATTTTACATATTCTTTGATGTTTGAAAATTGTTTTATTTGCATAATTATATCCATATATATTTTTTGGCAAGATACGTAAAAACAGTAACAATATCAATCACAAAACATACAGGGTCTGTCAGTCACATTGGTATATAGACAGATAGATGATATTTAAATTTAATTTTCCTTGAGACTGTATTTAGAGACTCCCTGTCATATGCGACCTTTTTCTGAAGATCCCTTGGAAAGTCACATATGACAGTCTCGACTGTAGTTGTGATAATTAGTTTATATGTTGAATTAATAAAAGAGCTTCTTTTGAACAATTGTAAATAGAATATGCATTTAAAATTACATCATTGACATCAGTTATACACATTTAAAACATTTTTTATTTTCTATGTTACTATTATTGCAACTTAAAGGGACTCCACTGAGGTTTTTTTGACGTGAATGGACCAAAAATATGTTTTCAGAATTTTTATATCGTATGTATGTCTAGACAAATAACTTGTGTACAAAATTTCAGATCATTCGCTCACTCTGTTTCCCAGAAAAAAATCAATTTAATTGTGCAAATTGGCTAAATAAATGAAAACCGTTTAAACGTTTTTCACTCAAATCCGCAAAAAATCACATACAAATCGATTATCAATTTAATACAGTGTATATTTAATATATCATCTATTGCTTGGTTTCAAATTTAAATGTACCAGTTGATTTAAGAAAGAATTTCAAAATTTATTATTTAAGGCTATTGGTCCTTAGTGGAGTTCCTTTAAATGTATATATTTACATGTAATATATTAATAAAATTGAATTTTCCATAGTTAAGTGCCTTATTTATCATAGTTTCATTATTGCACAAATTTTAAGATTATCATGCTTGATAAAGAGAAATATTCTTATTTTACAGTTTCCATCTTTGATTGGTAAGCACAATATTAAATGGGAAGGTGTTTGGAGAGATTTACGGTGCATGTCTAATTCTACATCCTTCGCGGTTAGAGAACAAGCTGGACATAGTATGAAGTCAAGTGTAAAAGTAAGAGGGTTTTTATACACAGTTACTGTGACAACTTCTATAAAGCAAGTACATTAAGAAAGATGTTGCCATGTAAACAGGGATGGTTTAAGTATTAATAAAATTCTTGCAGAAGATTGGAGTGCTGACTTTTTCCTGAGAATCTGACTTTTCCCTGAGAATGCACAGAGAACTGTGCAGTCTTTATATTTTTGCTTCAAAATCTTTTTGGTCTCTAACTTAAAGTTTGGTTTTTGTAATAAAAGAATGTAGTAATACATGAACGTGAAAAAAAATTTAAATTAAGTTGCCATCATGTTGAATGGGGGCTTAAGTTTAAAGGGCCATTATTGATAATTTTTAAGAATTGTGCTTGATTTAAAGTACTTTGTAACTGTTAAGTATGGTTGCATTTTTTGAAATTTACTTGTGTTTTGCAAATTTGAATAATTTCTCAAAGTTTTTCTTTCAAATCCATTATTCTTCATAATGTGATTGTCATTCTTAGTTGATTTTATATGTATATAAAAAAAAGAAGAAAAATTATGAATGGACAAGTATTTTCTGTTTCAGCATACATTTATGAGAGACAGTAGGGATGACCCTATATTACCTAATGAAGGATCTTTGCTGAAACTTACACAGGTGAAATAACTTTTCATATCTTATGCAAATTAAGAAATTATTGGTAGAATAGTAGGAGTACTTGGATAAGAAGATTTTATCCCAAAGAAAAAAATGTTAAGTTTTTGTGGATCAGAATTTATTGGACTTTTTCATTCATAATGTTGGAGTATTCAAATGGCTAAAATTCAATTAAATGAAAATAAATCATCCATTCTTCCGGTCCTTTGAAAATAAAATAAATTCTGAAAATTTTAGAAATTTCAGAACTTCTAAATTGCACAGGTCCAAAAAATAGGTAGTTTATTTGGTGTAAGAGTAATTTTTTAACCCAGACTAAATAATTTTTAAAAAGAGGTTTCTTTGAACAATTGTACTTGACAAGTGTATTAAGTGAAAAAGTTGTTTGAGAATTGATTATACAGTTAACTGATGTTTAGTCATTTTCATTAAAAATTTGTACAAATACATTTTCAGGAATATGCTGGTGTGGGAGGGAATGCTAGATTTTTCAAACATGACATAGAAGTTCAAGCTAACAAGGAACTAGTGCTAAATTCTGTAAGTTATCTAGCTTCAATTAAAGCATGTGACTTTTTGTACACAGGTATTTCCTAGCACTGGGGTAAACAGTAGATAATCCTATCTAATATGCAGCAGTATGTGTTTAGTGTATGCTTAATTAGGGTCCATCTGCCGGTGAAGGGCACAAAAAGCAGCTTTCCCTGTTGAGTACGGACTCTGGACATGCCACCAGTTCTGCCCTAAAGGTTTGATTTTGAAGCACAAAGTGGTTACCTCCATGCAATTTCCACAGAGTATTTAAGCCAAAGATATGAATTTTGAGCCAAAAGTAGGTCACCGTATGGCGGCCAATGAGAACCTAAATGTACGGTAACCGGAGACATTATGATATGCAGCAGCAAATATCAGTGCTATTATATACTTTTTTCCAGATAGAAATTAGCGAGAGATCCTTACCTGTCCTATACATAAACTTGTTTTCATAATATAAAAAATATAGACTGAAAGTTTTCCGCTTGTTGATATTGTTAAATTATTTGTGAAATTTTCCTGTGTAATCATTTTCTATATATATGTGTATATAAAATAGGCAAGAAAGAAACTGAAAATGCTAACAATACTAACATAAATAAAGGTAAAACCTAATAACAGGCATATCTGGTGATGGGCAAGTGTACTACTATTAAAATAAGATAAGAATTAAATTAGATAAATACATATGTCCAGTGATCAGATTATATTGGCAATGTTAAAATGTTGGATTGTAATCCAGGCTTTCACGGCGTAAATTTGTGAGATTTTTTTCTGATGCATATTGCATATTTCTGATATAGATAAAAAAGATATATAGTTACCGTAGTGCAATAAGATAATAAGTTCTTCTAAATTCAATAGGAGTTAATCAGTTTTGCTCTAAGGTGTTGATATCTGTGGAATGGAAATGAATGATCAATGTATAGAAAGGAATTAATGGTATGTTTTTGATATATGTAATTATTTTTATTTCAGGTTTTCCAACTGTCATTAGCAGGTGGTGTGATGAGACCTCTAGAACCAAACAAAGATATTATGATAATTGATAAATTCTTTCTAGGTGGTCCCCTGACTTTACGAGGGTTTAATATAAAAGGTGTTGGACCCCACAGTGATGGTAGGATTATATATAGCATATCATGTGACTTATGTATTCTATTTTACTATATTGGTATCACACAAACATGTATATGCATTGATTAAAAATCGAGCTCATGTTACATAAAACAGTTATAAACTGATGTTAGGGTTTATATTGTTGCCTTAGTGTAATAACGGAAGAAGTCCTAAATTTAATAGCAATTAATCAGTTATTGCACTAAGGTGATGAATTATAGTTTTTCAGGCTTGAGAAAAGTTATATGGACCCAGGAAAAAATCCAAATTTGATAAACTTATTATACCCCCGCACAACAAAGTTGTAAGGGGGGTATACTGGAATCAGCTTGTCCGTCCGGCCGTCGGTCCGTCGGTTTTTTCTTGTCCGCCCAATAACTTAAGATTCCTTTGACCCTTAGTCTTCATATTTGGCTTGGAGGTTAGTCATGATTAGTAGATGACCCTATTGATTTTGAGGTCACTAGGTCAAAGGTCAAGGTCACAGGGGCCTTGACTTCAAAAAGCTTGTCCGCCCAATAACTTAAGATTCCTTTGACCTACAGTCTTCATATTTGGCATGGATGTTAGTCATGATTAGTAGATGACCCCTATTGATTTTGAGGTCACCAGGTCAAAGGTCAAGGTCACAGGGACTTTGACTTCAAAAAGTTTATCTGCCCAATAACTTAAGATTCCTTTGACCTACAGTCGTCATATTTGGCATGGAGGTTAGTCATGATTAGTAGATGACCCCTATTGATTTTGAGGTCACCAGGTCAAAGGTCAAGGTCACAGGGGCCTTGACTTCAAAAAGCTTGTCCGCCCAATAACTTAAGATTCCTTTGACCCACAGTCTTCATATTTGGCATGGAGATTAATCATGATTAGTAGATGACCCCTATTGATTTTGAGGTCACCAGGTCAAAGGTCAAGGTCACAGGGGCCTTGACTTAAAAAAGGTTGTCTGCCCAATAACTTAAGATTTCTTTGACCCACAGTCTTCATATTTGGCATGGAGGCTAGTCATGATAAGTAGATGACCCCTATTGATTTTGAGGTCAAAGGTCAAGGTCACAGGGGCCTTGACTTCAAAAAGCTTGTCCGCCCAATAACTTAAGATTCCTTTGACCCATAGTCTTCATATTTGGCATTGAGGTTAGTCATGATTAGTAGATGACCCCTATTGACTTTGAGGTCACCAGGTCAAAAGTCAAGATCACAGGGGCCTTGACTTCAAAAAGCTTGTCCGCCCTCTAACTTAAGATTCCTTTGACCCACAGTCTTCATATTTGGCATGGAGACTAGTCATGATTAGAAGATGACCCCTATTGTTTTTGAGGTCACCAGGTCAAAGGTCAAGGTCACAGGGGCCTTGACTTCAAAAAGCTTGTCCGCCCAATAACTTAAGATTCCTTTGACCCACAGTCTTCATATTTGGAATGGAGGTTAGTCATGATTAGTAGATGACCCCTATTGATTTTGAGGTCACCAGGTCAAAGGTCAAGGTCACAGGGATTTGACTTCAAAAAGTTTATCTGCCCAATAACTTCAGATTCCTTTGACCCACAGTCTTTATATTTGGCATGGATGTTGATCATGATTAGTAGATGACCCCTTTTGATTTTGAGGTCACTGGATCAAAGGTCAAGGTCATAGGGACTTTGACTTCAAAAAGTTTGTCCACCCATTAACTTAAGATTCCTTTGACCCACAGTCTTCATATTTGGCATGGATGTTGATCATGACTATAAGGTGACCCCTATTGATTTTGAGGTCACTGGGTCAAAGGTCAAGGTCACAGGGACCTTGACAAAAAAAAGAAGCTTTTCTTCTCAATTGCTAAAGAATGTCCTGTCCGCAATGTATTGATTTTGACATTTTCACATTTGAAGCATGTAGAATACATAACTTAGCAATGCACTGGCTTAGTAACCTCAGATTTGGCAGGGAGGTTGTCCTTGAGCTCTAAATGGCCACTGTTGATTCTGACAAAGTGGTATGCGGGGGTATTCACGCCATGATAGTGGCAGTTCTAGTTAGGTCAGAAAAATGTTAGTGTATAATCGATAAATTGTATACCACTGTCTATAATAGAGTTTATCATTTGAAAGAATATCATGGCATTATAAAACTATAAAGTCTACACATCTTTTCACAAACTTATGATATCAACACTTATCAGCCAATTAGAACAGCTCTTTTATGAATGGGATATGATATTATCAAAATTTTGGTCTGTGATATAATGAATGCTAAATTTGACAAAAATAGATAACAGGTGATAGTAGAATTTTGTTGAAATAGCAGGGCGGGCAAAATTAATTGTCTGTGCTGCCCAGGTTGTCCCACAGCCTGTAGGGACAAGTGAAAATTTTCAAGAATTAAATATGTAAATATCATACGGACCATTTAAAAAATGCTTCACATAAAAAACGGACAAGTAAGTCAAAATCAGATTTTGCCGGCCCTGAATAGTATTTTTATTATCATTTTTTTTCTGTGCCATTTTATTTAGTGTGTCAAAATTTGTTATTTCAGGGAATGCACTAGGAGGTGATATGTACTGCATGGGAGCTTTACATTTATACACACCATTACCATTTCGACCTGGTATAGGAGGGTTTGGAGACTTATTCAGGTCACATTTCTTTATAAATGCTGGAAACTGTGGAAACTTTCAGTCTTTTAGTTTCGGTATGTTAACCTTGTTAATAGTTGAATTAATAATGGAATCATTTTGACCTAGTAATACTATGAGATTGGGCAGAATTAAAGAGATCATTTAGTGTTTTAAGCCAAAAATACAAGCAAGAATACCTCTTATTAAAGTAGGCTTCCTATCAAAATCTCCAAAACTACTTCTGTAAGAACTTTGGTTTCCTGAAAGTTGTGTTGGAACATATAAAGTGAGAACCTATAAATTTCTATTAATTATCACATAAATCGCGGGCAGGAGTGTAATAAAGCCATTTAATAAAAACGATATTACACTAGTGTAATAACACTTTGATGTGACGTCATTTGTGCTACATTTAAACATAGCGTTAAAGCGCGCTACTGGTAGCGTTACACTATGGGCGCGTCATTGAAAAATTACTCATTTTAACAGTTTACTGTTCTTATTTTATATATGTAATAAACAGAATATTATATTCATGTAGATTCAATACTAAATTTATTGAACTCGTTGAATAAAACAATATTATGCTCGCCAGAGGCTCGCATAATATGATTTTATTCAACTCGTTCAATAAATTTAGTACTTATTTAAATTTAGAATTTATATATGTAATAAACAGAATATTATATTCATGTAGATTCAATACTAAATTTATTGAACTCGTTGAATAAAACAATATTATGCTCGCCAGAGGCTCGCATAATATGATTTTATTCAACTCGTTCAATAAATTTAGTATTTAAGTACACTCATTCAATATCCTCTATTTATTCAATTATTTGCTAGAGATATATTGATATTTTTCCAATGTGGGTTCTTTTCTATGTAAAATTTCTTCAATATTTTATGTGGTGGAAATCGTAAGTTAATAGTTTTAAACAAACATGATGTGCAATATTTTATTGTGTACAAAATATGTCACATTAATCTAGAGGTATATTTTAATTACTTTGTAAACTTGAAAGAAAGCTGTCTTGTGTTACTATAAAAGTGACTTAATTTTTCATATGCAATATCATATTTCCCTAACCATGAAATGTATTCACTTGAAGTAATCAGTCACGATCCAAGACTAATAACACAGTGATTTTCTCGAAAGTATTTCAATTATTCCCCACTGCGAATTTAGAAAATTTGAATTATTTCCCTTTGATAGCATAGAAAATTTGAATTATTTCCCTTTGATAGCATAGAAAATTTGAATTATTTCCCTTTGTGAGGTTAGAGAATTCCTTTTGTTTTCTTGGCTTTTGTTTTCCTAGACCAGTATAATTATGAGCACACTGACAGCTTGGCAGCTCTTGTTTCATTTAATAATGTTAATGTATTGACGATCATATGGTGAAGTATTAAAAGATTAATGAGCTGCGCCATGACAAAACGAACATAATGCATTTGCGACCAGCATAGATCCAGACCAGCCTTCACATCTAGGCAGTCTGATCAGGATCCATGCTGTTCACTTATAAATGCTATTACAAGTAGAGAAACTGATAGTGAACAACATGGATCCTGTTCAGACTGGGTGGATGCACAGGCTGATCTGGATCCATGCTGGTCCCAAGTGAATTATGTTCGTTTTGTCATGGCGCGGCCCAATTATGTCATTTTACTTTTGTTGTCTTTTCTTTTTGGTAGATCAATTAACCAGAGAAAACATGGATGTATTTAGAAATTCATTAAGACTAGCTTATGGGGCTGGTATTGTGTTAAGACTCGGAGGTGTGGCGAGGCTGGAACTAAATTATGTTGTGCCGATATGGATAAGACAAGGGGATAGGTATATTCCTTTATTATACATTATTGAATGAAATATTCTATATTTATTTATCTAATGTATTGTAATTCTACAAGACAAGGAAAAATATATTAGTCTATTTTCATTCTAACATGCTTATAAAAAGGGAAGTTAACAAAGATGTATTGAACTACATTGAGCGTAGAAGTAATATTCCTGACATCATTTGGTTTATTGACGTCATATGACATGTAAGCCTTCGTTTTTTAATGCTTTGCATATAATCAGATTATATGCACTTGATTGCCCTGTCTGTTTGAAAGGGGAATAGTGTGAAGCGTGTTAGAGTACTGATTTGTTATCTTTCTTATAAATGAAAATTTATCATTTACTTTTTATGCTCCCCGAAAAATTTCGGGGAAGCTTATAGTCGTCGGGTTGTCCGTCCGTCCGTCAGTCCGTTCGTACGTACGTACGTCCCGAATTCGTGTCTTTGTTATTATATACTGGGATCAGCTTGTCCGTCCGTCGGTTTTTTCTTGTCCGCCCAATAACTTAAGATTCCTTTGACCCTTAGTCTTCATATTTGGCATGGAGGTTAGTCATGATTAGTAGATGACCCCTATAGATTTTGAGGTCACTAGGTCAAAGGTCAAGGTCACAGGGGCCTTGACTTCAAAAAGCTTGTCCACCCAATAACTTAAGATTCCTTTGACCCATAGTCTTCATATTTGGCATGGAGGTTAGTCATGATTAGTAGATGACCGCTATTGATTTTGAGGTCACCAGGTCAAAGGTCAAGGTCACAGGGGCCTTGACTTCAAAAAGCTTGTCCACCCAATAACTTAAGATTCCTTTGACCCTTAGTCTTCATATTTGGCATGGAGGTTAGTCATGATTAGTAGATGACCCCTATAGATTTTGAGGTCACTAGGTCAAAGGTCAAGGTCACAGGGGCCTTGACTTCAAAAAGCTTGTCCACCCAATAACTTAAGATTCCTTTGACCCATAGTCTTCATATTTGGCATGGAGGTTAGTCATGATTAGTAGATGACCGCTATTGATTTTGAGGTCACCAGGTCAAAGGTCAAGGTCACAGGGGCCTTGACTTCAAAAAGCTTGTCCGCCCAATAACTTAAGATTCCTTTGACCCATAGTCTTCATATGTGGCATGGAGGTTAGTCATGATTAGTAGATGACCCCTATTGACTTTGAGGTCATTGGGTCAAAGGTCAAGGTCACAGGGGCCTTGACTTCAAAAAGCTTGTCCGCCCAATAACTTAAGATTCCTTTGACCTACAGTCTTCATATTTGGCATGGAGGTTAGTCCTGATTAGTAATTGACCCCTATTGACTTTGAGGTCACCAGGTCATAGGTCAAGGTCAAAGGGGCCATGACTTCTAAAAGCTTGTCCGCCCAATAACTTAAGATTCTTTGACCCTTAGTCTTCATATTTGGCATGGAGGTTAGTCATGATTAGTAGATGACCCCTATTGACTTTGAGGTCACCAGGTCAAAGGTCAAGGTCACAGGGGCCTTGACTTCAAAAAGCTTTTCCGCCCTATAACTTAAGATTCCTTTGACCCACAGTCTTCATATTTGGCATGGAGGTTAGTCATGATTAGTAGATGACCCCTTTTGATTTTGAGGTCACCAGGTCAAAGGTCACAGGGACTTTGACTTCAAAAAGTTTGTCTGCCCAATAACTTAAGATTCCTTTGACCCACAGTCTTCATATTTGGCATGGATGTTGATCATGATTAGTAGATGACCCCTTTTGATTTTGAGGTCACTGGATCAAAGGTCAAGGTCACAGGGACTTTGACTTCAAAAAGTTTGTCTGCCCAATAACTTTAGATTCCTTTGACCCACAGTCTTCATATTTGGCATGGATGTTGATCATGACTATAGGTGACCCCTATTGATTTTGAGGTCACTGGGTCAGAGGTCAAGGTTACAGGGACTTTAAAAAGTTTGTCTGCCCAATAACTTTAGATTCCTTTGACCCACAGTCTTCATATTTGGCATGGATGTTGATCATGATTAGTAGATGACCCCTTTTGATTTTGAGGTCACTGGATCAAAGGTCAAGGTCATAGGGACTTTGACTTCAAAAAGTTTGTCCACCCATTAACTTAAGATTCCTTTGACCCACAGATTTCATATTTGGCATGGATGTTGATCATGACTATAAGGTGACCCCTATTGATTTTGAGGTCATTGGGTCAAAAGTCAAGGTCACAGGGACCTTGACAAAAAAAAAGCTTTTCTTCTCAATTGCTTAAGAATGTCCTGTCCGCAATGTATTGATTTTGACATTTTCACATTTGAAGCATGTAGAATACATAACTTAGCAATGCACTGGCTTAGTAACCTCAGATTTGGCAGGGAGGTTGTCCTTGAGCTCTAAATGGCCACTGTTGATTCTGACAAAGTGGTATGCGGGGGTATTCACGCCATGATAGTGGCAGTTCTAGTTTGAAGTCAGATTTTAAAATTATTTCACAGAAATGATCACCATATTGAGACGACGTGTCACGCGCAACATTTGGGTCGCTACCTTGAAGGTCAAGGTCACAGCATGACCTTGCAGCAAAATCGTGTCCGGTCCATAACTTCATTATTTGAAGTCGGATTTTAAAAATATTTCACAGAAATGATCACAATATTGAGACGACGTGTCAAGCGCAACATTTGGGTCGCTACCTTGAAGGTCAAGGTCACAGCATGACCTTGCAGCAAAATCGTGTCCTGTCCATAACTTTGTTATTTGAAGTCAGATTTAAAAAATATTCCACAGAAATGATCACCATATTGAGACGATGTGTCACGCGCAACATGTGGGTCGCTTCCTTGAAGGTCAAGGTCACAGCATGACCTTGCAGCAAAATCGTGTCCGGCCCATAACTTCGCTATTTGAAGTTGGATTTAAAAAGTATTTCACAGAAATGATCATCATATTAAGAAGACGTGTCATGCACAACATTTAAGTCGCTACCTTGAAGGTCAAGGTCACAGCATGACCTTGCAGCAAAATCGTGTCCGGCCCATAACTTCCTTATTTATAGTCAGATTTTTAAACTATTTCACAGAAATGATCACCATATTAAAATGGCGTGTCATGCAAAACATATGGCTCGCTACCTTGAAGCAAAATTGTGTCCGGCACATAACTTCATTATTTGAAGTCGGATTTTACAACTATTTCACAGAAATGATCACCACAATGAGACATTGTGTCGCGCGCAACATTTGGGTCACTACCTTGAAGGTCAAGGTAACGGTATGACCTTGCAGCAAAATCGTGTCCGGCCCATAACTTTGTTACTGGAAGTCGGATTTAACAACTATTTCACAGAGATGATCACCATATTGAATTGACGTGTCGCATGCAACATTTGGGTCACTACCTTGAAGGTCAAGGTCACAGCATGACCTTGCAGCAAAATAATGTCAGGCGCATAACTTCGTAATTTGAAGTCGGATTTTACAACTATTTCACAAATATGATCACCATATTGAGACAATGTGTCGTGCACAAAATTTGGGTCGTTTTTACACTTTGAACTTTGTCTGTGACATAACTCTGACACAACAAGAGGTATACCTTCCTGTGTCCAAAACCTATTCGGGGAGCATCACCCGATTCAACTGGCTCTTGTTTCTTACAGGACTTAGTCCATGTTTTGCACATATATAATTTGAAACCATTGTCTTAAATACATGTATATGTTTGATTTATATATCTGTTTGAAAATTGTAATTCTGTAGATATATATCCTGAATTATTATTTTTTAATGAATTTGAAATATGTGGTTGTCTGGTGTTTATTGTCACTGATTTAGGAATGTTTGCCTCCTCACTGCTGCAGTTTTAAATCTTATACATGGTTGGTGGTTATACCTGGGTGCATGCTTGAGTCTGAAAAAGCACATGAAAGGCCATATGTCTTACACCCCACACTGACCAATCTCCACCATTTAAGCTTTAAAGTTGCTGTCAGACTTCACAGTGTTGGTGTGGATATAAAACCCATATATGTGATGATTACTGTGATGTTTTGTTGGGTTTTTCTTCCATTTCATTGACTATTTGACTTGAAACATTTATTATTAAATGTCCTATAATAAGTATATATGTTTAAAAATAATGTCTTTTTCTACTTTCAGTGCAAATCAGGGTCTTCAGCTAGGAGTTGGGTTGACATTTTTGTGATATGTTACTTACATTTAACATTTATTAAAAAAAAAAGTGTTGTGTAGCAAATCAGTGCTTTACTGAAAACTGTGATTTGTGAAAATGATAACAGAAAAAAAATGGAGTAACCCAGTCAACTCCTTTGAAGACAAGACTTGATAAGTATCAGCTGAAAAATCATGATTTAAAACTGTCTTTATAAAACTTGTTTGGATTGGTCAATATTTCCAGTGTGATTATATAAGTGTCCAATCAAATTGCCGAGTTTCTGACAGCTTTCATTATATCAGTGACTGATTCTATATTTTGTTTTAATAAGGTAGAAAATCAAATTAAAAAAATCAATGTTAAAACTTGCCATTTGCCAACTTCAACACTTAGCATGATATAATGTACATGTATGTACCAATAATAGGATTGAATTTTAGATTTGTTTTAAATAGACAAATCTACCAGTACCTGATATTATTAAAACATTGATTTATACTAAAATTCATGACCTACATGTTCACCATTGTATACACACTAAATGGTTGTCAGTGCTATGTATCAAGTATTTACATCGACAAATATATTTCTTCATATCATTTTCTTGTTTGGAAATAGTCCACTTTATTTATATAAAACCAATGCTTATTTTTTTTATATAAAACCAATGCTTATTTTTTTTTTCATGATTTTTATGATTTAAACTTCTAACCATGTGTTCTTGATCTGTTTTTATATCATATTTACATGTATGGTGTGTCAGTATTCATGCCCCACCCCCACTTGGGGTGGGGGTGTTTCAAAATTACTGACACAAAAATATTTAAGTAGCAAGGTATAAAGTCTGTATTCAAAACATTTATGGAAGTTCTTTATTTTATTTCTTTTCATAATAAAGAATCTCCTTAAATGATACCTTATATTTTATTTCCCAAAGTTGTTCTGATGAAGTTTTCAGTTTTTCATCTCATTTATACCAGAGACTTATAAAGTTATAATACAGACAAATAAAATATGTTCTATCCATATAGCTCAGTGTTTATGCATACCAATTTGTTATTTTTTGCTGATACTTTATACAATTATGATTAAATTCTTTTGATATTTTTGTATAGTAATCATGAGAAAAAATTTGCCTTTCCCACCAGTATAAATTCAGGCCAGTCCTGTGCAAGACACTTGACTGTTGGCTGACTGGTTGTTTGTACTTTTATACTGAAATACCTAAAATAATAGACTATTCCTTATAGAAAACAGGACAAGTGCATCATACAATTTAAGGATTGTTAGGGTTACAATACGTCCGGAGTTCCTTCCCCTTATACTTCTTTATAGTAAATGTAGGCAGGGAACCAGGTTAGGGTTACGGTATGTATTATGTGATAGAGATACATGTATAATCTAGTATTTCACAAATGTGATTTGAAAACATGTTATTTTGGTAACCTTTGATCTGCAATACATTTGTTAGTGGTTTATGTAATAAAAAATGTACACAATGTACAAAATTGAATAAATGAACTATTATAACTTTTTGTTTGTATTTTCCTAATCCAGATTTACATGTTAAAATATAGAGGATATTGAATGAATGAGTGTAAGTTTAATACTGAATTTATTGGACGAGTTGAATAAAATTATGAGAGCCTCTCGCGAGCAGAATATTGTTTTATTCAAGGAGTTCAATGAATTCAGTAATGAAGTTGCACAACTTTCATATTTTATTTTTTACATATCAAAAACAAAGACCATTTTAAGTTAAAAAGAACAATTTTTCATTGACGAGTCTAAAGTATAACGCTAACATTTAGCGCATCTTTACGATGTGTTTAAATGACGTCATGCACGGCCGTGCAATACCATTTTTACGGAGTCGCAAAAGCGCCACGGTATGTGATAAAACATTTTTCTCTAACCCTTAATCTGCTAGAAATGGAAAGTGATTAGCACTTGTCACTAGTATTGGGCCATTGAGTCACCATTTTGTCCCCAAAATAGATAATAGGCATTTCCAAGACAATGGAAACATGACCTGCCCATTAAAAAAATCTAACGATTTATGGTTAATATGCACATCCTCATATTGTTAGTTTTAAACTATAAATACAGTATATTATAAGAAATTACAACCAGTATTAAAATCATAGTTACACATATTCATGATTTAGAATATGATATATATAGCTTTTGCTTCCATTAACAAATTGTATGTATTTTTGATTAAGTCTATTTACATCTGATTAATAGATCGTAAAATTTCAGGATTAAGTAAAGGATCTATATAAATATATTAGTGTACATTCTCCCATTTACTGATTACTTGGATTTATGACTAAGTGTATTATCAATATTGTATCCATTTATAAATTTTTAGCTCACCTGACCTTGATCACCTTGCTGACCTTGATCTTAACACTCCAGTTGCTACTGATTTGATCCAAATATCCTTGAAATTGGTCTGAAAGTTTGTTTTGATGACTTCTAGGTCAAGTTAGAATATGTGTCACCTGGGGTCAAAACCTAGGTCACACTGCCAAAAAATGAAAAAACCTTGTTAACACTCTAGTGGTCACATTTTAATTCAATTGTCATCAGACTTGGTCAGGATGCTTGTCTAGACAAGGGTAATCTTGGATGAAAAACTAGGTCACAGGAGCTAAAAATAGAAAAAATTTGTTATAATTAGTGGCTACTGTTTTGATCCAAATATCCTGGAAGTTGGTTTTAAAGTTTGTTTTAATGATTTCTATGTCAAGTTCGAATATTGGTCACCCGGGGTCAAAAACTAGGTCACACCACCCAAATATGGAAAAACTTTGTTAACACTCTAGTGGTGACATTTTGACCAAATCATCATCAAACTTTGTCAGGATGCTTGTCTAGGTAATTGCTCGGATGACTTCAAATGGGTCAGGTGAGCGATCTAGACCCATCTTGGCCCTCTTGTTTAACATGTTAAGTTAGCTAAGTGCCTAAAGTAAGGAAGATTACTGAATACATATATTTTTTATACTTTTTATATTTTTAAATGTAAATCCCATTTTCTGTATCCTCTAGGGTGTGGCAGTATATTTGGTGTAGACATGTCATTTAACTGGGTGTAGATCAAAAGTAACTAGATGCCTAAGTACTTTATGAAGATATAAACCTTACATTAAAGCATAACGCTCTATGAAACATGAACACACAGTCGTAACCACGTTCTGGGATGCATGTGATTACATAATTTCATTTCGTTTTTATTGCAATAGAAAGAGTCAATATACAAAGTGATATGCATGTTCCCTAGAAAGTTTTTCAGTTCTTTTTCTTTCTTTTTAATACTACAAGAGATTTATGACATCGTCTAACAAATAAATATTAAATGTCAAATTAGTCCAGTCACGTGTAAATTCTAATTTTCTACAGGGTAACTTTTACTTCGATCTCCGATGCTATTTCAATAACATCACTCTAGCACTTAAATCGTGTGTCAAAAGTGTTTCCTTTTTACCAAATACGCCTTGTTATTGTATATCTAAGGAAGGTCAATCGTCTCATCACAAAAGTCACTTTCTAGTTATGTACTTTTAGTTCCTGGCGCCATTTGTAATCTTAAAGTAATATCACCCATGTGTCTTTTATTGCTATACCGGTAGATCATTTTCTTACTTGAAAAAGCTCTCTAGTTGATTAAATCTCGTATATTATACCGGTATGTTGATTTTTTTTCCAGTTTGATTTGTTGTTTACAATTTATGGATAGAATATTACTTTATTACTTTTAAATGGAGGTTATATTACTTTTAAATGGATTCCATTTTTATAAAATGACTACCTTACTATTCTTGGAGCATTTTATTAATCTAAAAGTACAAGTGTTTATCAATATTTCCGATTTCGTTCTCAGAGATTTTCCCTTCTTTGGACATTGACTCTATTTGTACCGACCACGTGGCACATTTTAAGGATGTTATAGTTGCATGCCATTATCATCTTTAAAAGGTTTCTGAATACTTGAACAATAAATACTTTAGAAACTGTTTTTAAGAAATATTGTTTTTTTTTTCTTTTAGATCATCATTGTTCATTAATATATACAAGTGGAATTTTGTTTTCAGTATACTTGTAATTAAAGATACCACCCTTTTAGAACTGAAACCTTAAACTTAAATGCATTTTCTTATCTACTTGTGAAACTTTTATGAGTATGAATTTTAATTTGTTTTCAATGACCTTTCGCATACAAGAGTACCGTTCATATATTAAGTTTTATTGGGTTACGTGACTGGACTGCCATGAATGTTGCCCGCTACGAAACTCATTAATCGTATTAAGATATCCTTCGCGCATTATCATTATCTTCTCCCCTTGTTGTTGTTGTTTTTCTATTTATCTTATGATGAAATATCACAGATTTGATTTTAATGACTTCGGAGTTTTCAATATAACCTTTCATACAAGGTTGTCCAGCAAACGTCAATGCACTCCAAGGAGTGAAGTCGTCTATAACACGGCTTTGAGTAGGTGAACCAACTAATATCATAGAAGGTATTTTTGTCGCCATAAAGATGGTCAAAATTTTGAACACGATGTATTTCAGCACTTTTTCTGACGGATCAAATTTTTCCAAGAATGTCAATAAGTCCATAGAGCAAGAACATGCAAAACAAAATTTTGCAATGTCAGAACAACATGACAAATACTCTGTTGATGATATTACTATGCGAGAGTTATCAATTAATTATCGCATGGCTGTGAGCTTTTCTTTTGTTCTTTCCAACCCATTATACTCAGTACACTTCAATGAGCATTTCAAAACTGTATTGATATATAACAGTACAGTTTTTTCATTGATTCATACATTTTGTATAAAAAAAACTGTACTGTTATATATCGGTCTAGTTTTTTTCGCACCTTGTATATATCAATACAGTTTTTTCATAGAGGCTCCAATGGGGCAGTGGTAACGACCATTCCCAGTAGCAAAAAAAAAAACCCCATAAGATAATAAAAAATGAAATCAATAAAATAAAATAAAATAAATATATAAATACAATGAAAAATATAAACAAAGATAATTAATGAAATGAAAAAAGCCCTTTAATCTTAAATCAATCTTGGTAACAGTATACACTC